CAAAGTCATCAAAACAACATAATGTTATTATTTTTTTTTTTTTTTATTATCATTATTTCAAGTTGAAAATGTCTTTAATTACCCAAAGATTGCAATTTTTTCTGCAATGAAACAAAATCATCCATTGTGCCATATACGGGATCAATCATATTGTAATCCGAAATATCATAACCAAAGTCTGCCATAGGTGATTTAAAAATGGGTGATAACCAAACACAGTCCACTCCTATGTCTTTGAAGTGTTCAGCTTTCTCTTCAATCCCTTTCCAAAATTTCAAAAACACACAATAAAACATTGAAATAATAATATAAGTTATAACGTTACCTTTAAGATCTCCTATACCGTCACCATTGCTATCCTTAAACGATCTCGGATAGACTTGGTAGTAAACCGCAGTTTGCCACCATTCTAAACTTTTGTCTTCATTTTTCTTTTCATCTCTGGCGCAAGTTGTATTTGCGTTGGCGAAATGTTCCGAAAGACTTAGTAATAACAAAGCCATCCTAAAAACGAAAAATAGGTGGAGAAATAAAATATATATTTATTTAATAAAATTTTATTAAAATTAAACGATTTATTTAATAAATATTTTATACGATTTGGTCGCTCGAACGCAACTAGTGTGTATTTAGGTATTATATTAATATGACTACGATAAAATGTGGCGAACAATAAGTAAATAAAATTATAATATTGTATCAGTGCTGTCACGCTTACCACTCACGACGCATAGTTAAGACCCGTGATAATCTATAAGTACTAACGATATATGCCACTCAAGCCGACAGAGTAAATATCGTCTACAATGGGATAGAAATTCAAAAGTTAACAAACGTCCACTAAACTTAAAACTATTTACTGGAATGAAACTAATAATGATCTGCATCATACAATTGTTTATAAAATAAACTGTGTACGTCAAATAAGAACGCATCAACATACCTAATCGATGAACTTTGAACCATAGATAAAATTAAAAACAAAATTAAGTTGACGGTTTACCTATTACAGAGTGTCCCGTGAGGATATACCCACCCATTAGCCGTAAAAGAGGCCTCGCTGCCCTGACAAAAATCGGTTTTTGCTGTTTTACCTTTAAGCTAAAAAAAATATTAAAAATTATGAGATTAATGAATACAAAATGTTGAAAAGTCAAAACGTTCACAAAAATAAACTCTATAAAATGGCTATCTTCTATTATTTCAAAAATAAAATTATTGAAGAATAATTGTTTAAATTTTTTTACCAAAAAATGTAATTAAACTAAAAAATAAAATATGTGTACTCGCATTTTCTCTGTGAGTCTAATAAAAAAAACAAATTTATGATGTATTTATTATATCAGGATATATCGCAATTGTAAATCCACGCGGAACACCCTGTATAATTATATAGCTTACACATTATAGTATTATACCATCTATGTAAACCACACATTGAATTTGTTTTACTGAATATCTCTGTAGTTAATATTATTGTGTTTAATACTGCCATTACCTGTAGTACATAATATAGGTACATAATATTATTATAACGATGATAATATTTGATTTACCCAGGAGTTCGAATGTTTTTACTGAATCTTTAAAATACAACAAAATAATTTTTACTGTTACAATTAATCAAAAGCTAAATCATAAATATAAAATTCAAACTGCGATACGTAAACCTAAACAGTCCATTGTGGCATTGTACGATCTATAAGGTATATGAAATTAAAAATATATTATATGGTGTACGGGTGTACCCATACATTTTTACTATGATATAGACGGTTATAATCATTTAAAACTTATAGTATTTAAGTAATTTCTTTAATAATAAAAGTATAATCTTATAAAACTTTTAATTTATGATTAAAAATGTTTGGTGAAAAAAAATATTATTTTTTAAATAATAAAAGGGATATGAATACAAACGTAATTTCGCATGAATCCGAACACGAATGAATCACAATGTAAAATAGTTTATTGTATAGTCTTGTCCAGATAGTTCAGCAGTCGCCATCATTTATTAATGAACAATAATAATTAATGCACTGTACCTACAGTAAACGGTCTCGTTGACGATTTCGAATATATAAAAACAACTGTGCTACACAAAAATAGACGTTGGTTAATGTCAACAACAGGTGACAAACTGACAACAGACAACACGTTGATTCATTCTCGCGTGCATGTTGACAATTGTTTATCAGTGTTGATCATTAAGAGATTGTTTCTAAATTTGTTACTTTTTATTCATAAAACCTAAAGTTTTGTTTTCAGCATAAAATATTTCATTATTATTTATTACGTTAAAATGTATCCAATGAGGCTATGAATTAGTAGCTGTATACATAGCTGTATTACCCAACTTGTCTTGGTTAAAACTTAAAATTAATAAAATTTCTATAGTTTGCCGTTTTGGTTCAGTTTAAATTTATAATACAAACACAATATTACAATGATTAATTTTAGAATTTTCCACTTCTTGATTCTGGACTTATTTTTGATGTAAACACAAAGCACTGGAAGCTAATTCAAAAAATACTTAAAACCTGCCATACATCTAAAGCCAATCATAAAATTAATCATTGTAATAAATGTGTACGTGAACAGTTGACTTTAAGATTATTTTTTTTTAAATTATGTGAAAAATTATGTATACCATGCCCTCTTTCTAGGTACTAATAATTATAATAGTAATATAGTCTGTAACCAAGGGAAACCATTTAAATAGACCCAAAAAACCTTATAGAAACCTACATAGGTGGAAAAAATATTAAGCTACAAACATTTTCCGCGTCTCAAGGAATCTATTAATGTAACTTTTATTGGAAACGATCCAGCAGTTTTTGAGTCTACAGAGGATCATCTCAAAGAACCATTCGTTTTTTAATTGTATTGACGACTATTTATTACTTTAATTACTTTTTATACTAAAAATTATGACATTTATTACCTAGGTCAGCGTTTCTCGACACAGTTCTGGACAAGTATAATTTATTACCTTGTTCCTATAATTTATAAATATTGAAACTTTTAGAAAAAGGTTGTATTTTAACGATACGTAATATTTTGTTTCAATCCATGAAGCTAGAGTTAAAATTGTACATTGATTTGATATTTTACAAATCTATATACATTATAATATAATGCATATTATGCATACCTCCAGCTCCAGGTAACGAGTCCATTATTTTAAATGTAAAAACGGCTATAGAAAACTTAATATCAGCTTAGCAAAACTAGGAAAACTTCTTGTACACAGTAATACCGACGACAAACAGGACGCTTCTGTAATACCATACTTTGAGTCAGGGTTTGCCAACCTTTCTATATGAAGTGAATATAATATAAATTATCATATAATTTAATTTGTAATTTCAAATGCCCCAAGGTTTGTTTGAAATGATGCACTGCACACAGACTTAAAAATGTCAAAAACCGAAAAATAGGTACATCTATTGCAATGGTACTATACTAGGTATGTCAACACCAACAAATGGTAATCAAAATAACAAAATATTCTCAGACAAATAAATTGTTTTCAATTAAATGTAAATTATTACCTACATCTTATATTTTAACAAGTACAAGTGGTTATTCATAAAAAAAACAATAAACCTACAAAAATGTAATAATTATAGTGCATTATTAGGAAATTACCTAAAATATTTGGAATAGGACGAATAGGTACACAAAAATAGACACTATTTGTAAAAAAAATAAAATGTCAAAAAACACGAATAATAATAATAATTAATGGTCATTAAAATGTATACAAGTCAAAAAGAAAATAGTATTTAATATAATAATTATTATTATTATATAGGTACTTGCATTAATTTTCTAATACTAGATCAATAATTTATACAATTTACATTGAATTGTTATAAAATATACGCACGCGATGAAAATTATATGCAGGTATTATGTATGTATTTGCTAAACGCACCCATTTAAATTTTTTATCCATAGATACTTCGAACTTTAAAATTAAAACTATAAAAAACTGTAAAAATACAAAATATAATAATATAATCTCCTAAATCCAAGCCAATACAATACCGATTACTGGCTTCCGGGGAAAGCTGGTTTAAAATACTTATTACTGACATATACTATCTAGCGAAAATAACTTACCACTACGTATCAACATTTTACGTATTATGTCATTGTATAATAGTCATACAATATTAAATATATTAAGTTATGTATACATGACGTGTAATAGGTATTGTAATAAGTAATAACTAATATATATATATATATAATTTATATATATATGTATATACTATATAGTTGTATATATATTATATAGATATAGTTGTATATATATTATATAGATATAGGCATTGTGAGATGTTTTAATATTTATACAGTCGTAAATAAATTCTTACTGTGTTTTCGATGATTATTGATCCTTAGTGAACGAGTCCAGGTAAACCTAGACTATGGCCTTGACGAATCCCTTGTCACTTGTCAGTGTTTTGAAACCAAATAAATATTCCAGACACTCAATCGGTTATCATTTATCGCCATGTAACTCGTAAATGGTTTTCCAAATTTTAACGCACCTATAGGTACTAATTAGAACCGACTAAATATCGATCCGTGCCATAATATATTATAACAATGCAATTTTATAACTCAGCTATGGACGACAAGTAGCCCGAGCTTTTTGCTCGTAAATGTTTTATATAATTTGGTTGTGAAAAACAAACATTTCACGAGTTTTTTGTTAGGGCAACCCACGACTATTTCGCGTTTAATTCTCTATTTGAACACAAACACTTGATTCTTGAACGATGTCACGGTTCGTAGGTAAGCACCACTCACGCCTCTTGTCTTTTCAAGTCCATCATTACAGTATGACAGCCCAGTGAATAATTAAATAGGTACCTACCTACCTACCTAATATTTTTAGCGCACTTGTAAGGTCATGGGCGAAATTATTGAACAGTACAAATACCCAAAAATTCACACACTAGTCATCAGACGTTCGTCCAGACAGTATGACGTACCTTTGTTACATTGTCGTTTTAATAACGATCGCGTTCAGTACAAATGCTGGTAAGCCGTTTTTTTTATTTTAACATTTAGTATCTGTTTATATTTTATGTATAAAACAAACAGTAATTAATACGTTGACATCTCTAGAACCTGCGAAATTGGATTGGTGGCAGACCGGTGTCATTTACCAAGTATACCCAAGATCGTTTAAAGACAGCAACGGCGATGGCGTTGGAGACCTCAAAGGTAATTGTTTATAACTATATAAGTGTACAACAATAGTACAATACATTTGTCTATACCTATAAGTATATACTATATACAATATCAGGCTTCTTTTATAATTTCATAGGAATAAACTATGTATAAAGTACAATACATTATATTTTTGAAAACATTTATAAATTAAATATGGTCTTTGAGTCATACTTACAACCTACTATAAGCATATGTACTTAATGTATGGCTGTAAGACGTGATTATAAATAGCTAAAACACTTTTTGTTAAAACATTTCTTGTTTTTAATAAAAACTTGAATGTTATAATTGCAATTTGCAACTTATAGTAGTAGGATATGTGAAAGTCAGTTTTCATATACTACTAAGTCCATACTCCATACATAGTTGAGTAATCATATATGAATGACTGTTAGTTTTTAAAATGTTGATATTGTGTATTCAGAATTGTTTCAATATAATATTATTTTTCTGTATTATAACGTAAATATTTTGTAAATATTAGTAGGTACCTATAGATAATATATAAGCTAAATTGGATGTTTAAAAAATCATAGTAGAGTTATGACATATCAAAACATTTATGAAAAGGGTCATTAATATCTAATTTCGTTCAAAATAGTTATAAAAAATACTGTGGTTGTATAGTTTTTAGATTCTTTGGTTACATTATGAACTGGGTATGAGCAATTTAATGTTACATTTTCAAGTTTATTTACCAACAATAATAAAAATTCGAAAATATCTCATGTCAATACCTCAATAAGATTTTTTTAAATTAATGATTAAAATATCTACGGTAAGTTATTAATTATTGATTTAAACAATAGAAACTGGTTTTGCGTAAAAATATTCGTTTTTCTTATTTTTTTTTTTTTTTGGAAAAGCTTTTGGAAACCTCTAGGAATTTTTTACTTTTGACCCACCCAGAGTACCCTAACTAGATTCATTTTTATACCAGAAAAGACCCAGAAGTAAAAAATCGAAATATTGCCCCAAAGGTGACATACACCTAAAATAAAAAAAAAAGGTGGGCAAGTGGGTGTCGCTCTGCTGTACAGTAGGTTACAAGTCTGTCACTGTATAATGGATAGTATTAAATTTGAATTCAATGATATAATATCATTGTAAAGAAAAACGATTCTGAGCGGAGACGGTATGTCAGTCTAGGTAAAGACATATTATATACAAATCTATGGTATTAAACAAAAATTGACCTATAATAGGTACCTATAATAAATTCCAAATTAATCATATCACAATATCCATTAGGTACTTATAACGCGTTATACATCAACAAAAACCGTGATACTATCATAGATATATAATAGTACACTTTAGAAGTTTCAAATACCCACGAATAATATATTTCAATCACAACAAAATAACTAACATAGTTATTCTAGGTTTTTTAATATGTAATTTCGTCCCAAATTTGAACTTAAAATGTCTGTAAAAAATAACTGTGCTCATATATTTTTTAGATTTTTTGGCTACAGTATGAACTATTTATGAGAATCTTTTTTTTAAATTTTCAATCCTTAGCTATAAAAACTGAACATTTTAGAATTTATTAATTACGATGATTGATAATTTTCGATATTTTGATACATTTTGTCAAAATTCCAACTTTAAATGCTTATAAAAAAAAATTGTGCCAATGTATTTTCAATGTTTTTGAACTGATATTGTAACGATAAATCAGGAGTCTTGTATTAAATTTTACACTTTTTGGCCCAACAGATAAAACTTTATTGATATTTATAGAAAAAAGAACTAAAAAAATTGAAAACTGAAAATGTCCGTAAACAGCTCCAAAAGAGTCAACATTTTATGGTTTATAGAAAATGCTAATTTAAACATTCAGTGAAATTTTCATGTACCTACAGTTATTCGTTTTTGAATAACAACAAAATAAGGAAATCGCTACATGAGAAATCGAGTGAATATCCAATGTTGTAAAAATTTGAATTTCAAACGCTCATAAAAATTTAATTTGACTTTCTTATAGACATTTTTTTTTTTGATAAAGGTAGATAATCTTATAAGGAATCTTGTATTACATTTTCAAATCTTAGATTTAAAAAGAAAAAATTTTACGAATTCTTAACTCAAAATAATTTGCTAATTTTCGTGATTTTTCCATATTTTGTCAATTTTTGAACTTTAAATGCTTATAAAAAAAAACTGCGACTAAGGAATTTTAATATTTTTCATCTGCCTTTGAAACAATATACTAGGAGCCTTCTATTACATTTTCAAGCTTTCGTAACCAATAAATACAATTTTATTGATATTTTTAGAAAAAAAACTAAAAAAAAATGGAAAATGAAAATGTCCCTAAACAGTTCAAAATAAATCAAAATATTTTGAAAATGTTATCGTGTATAGAAAATGCAAATATAAACCAGTGAAAATTTCATGTATATACGTTCATTTGTTTTAGAGTTACACCAAAAACCAAAATCGATTTTTTGGAAAACCAATTTGGCGTAAAAATTCCCGTTTTTCCTTAATTTTTATGTTGTTTTTCCCGGCGCTTGTGAAAACTACTGGGAACGTAACCTACTTTTGACCCCCCAAATTACCAACTAGATTCAATTTCCTATCAGAAAAGATACTGTTGAAGAAAATCCAAGCACTTTTACTGTCCTAAAACGTGATGACAGACACAAAAAAAAAATAAATAAAAAAAAAAACACACATCATTGTAAAATCAATACATTCATCGTTTCACTCAGAATCTAAAAGTGTATATATATGTATAGGCAGTAGGCACGGACCGCTTTACGGTATATGCTTTTTAAATATAACCACACGATGTTCGTATCGGTACAATTTTTTTTTATTTTTCATGGTATGCAAACAAAAATTATACAGTAGATGTAAGCTAATAAATAATATTACATTTTATTCTGTTGTATAGGTATAGAAGAAATGGCTGAACATTTTCAAGAAACAGGCATTGGGGCCATATGGTTGTCGCCAATATTCAAATCTCCCCTGGCTGATTTCGGTTATGACATTTCCGATTTTGTAAGCATCGACAGCACCTACGGAACAATGGAAGACTTTTTATCGCTTCAGAGGAAACTTAAATCGCTTGGTGGGTATATTTTATTCGTTTGTGAAAAAATAACCGTAAGCCACTTTCAATTGTGAAACGCGTTTGGAAACGTCTTGATTTCAGGCGTTCGTATTCTATTGGATTTTGTGCCTAACCATTCAAGTGATGAACACGAGTGGTTTCAAAAATCAGTCAAAAAAATCGACCCTTACACCGAATACTACGTGTGGCTGGACGGAAAAGTAGATGAAAACGGTAACAAAATACCTCCAAATAATTGGGTGAGCATAATCTTAACTTAACAACAAATTATATTTTCGTTATACCTTATACTCATTACTGCATTGAATATTTTTGAGTGTGATGGTTGAACACATCGAATTTCTGTATTACCTCATCACTATAAGTACCTACTGAATTCAAGACAAGACTGAGTTCAATTTTATTTTTTTTAATCTGCCAACCTTAAATTTCCAATAATATTGTCCATAAATTATATTCTACAATTATTATAATATAACTATATCTGCTCTAAGCGAAACAATTTCGACGGGAGTGCTTGGGAGTGGTCTGCTGAAAGGGGACAATACTATTTGCATCAGTTTGCGGCTAAACAACCAGACTTAAATTACAACTCACCAGCTCTATTAGAAGAAATGAAGGTATCACTGTTACTATTTTATAGATTATTATTCACACATTCTATTCAGCCTCCTAAACATTCGATCTCTGTAGAACGTACTTCGATTTTGGCTGGATATCGGCGTCGACGGATTCCGCATGGACGCTTTACCATACATTATAGAAGACGTCAAGTTTGAAGACGAATTAGTGATCCATCCAAGTATAGTCGACGACAATTACACATATGTTTTGCTAGATCACAAGTTATCTAGGGACCAACCGGGCACGTATAAAATTGTCGAAGAATTTAGAGCCGTTTTGGATGAATACACTAACCAGGACGGAAACACAAGGTATTAAGAAAAAAAACTATTAACTCATGGGTATTATTGACAATTTGTTGTTGGTTTATATTGTTCTGTGTTCTAGTTCTTGTTTAAAATATTTATACAATCTAAAAAAACTCTGGAAGGTTGCAATACTCTATACTCTATAGTACGTTTCGGGTGTATTGTGTATTGTGTAGTTATGAATAGGTAAAACATTAATATTTGAAAATTCTCATAATTCACTTAAAAATTAAAATATCGTAAAAACCCAACAAGAGTCACTGATAATGTTATTACCTAAAAATCACACTATTGAAATTGGTGAACGAAAATTTGCTTAGTCGTCCATGTACGACGAAGACAACACATAGAGGTGCGACGTCCTCTTAATTACTACTCATGCGCCATGTAATTATTATTTATCTTCTACTTTCAATAGTTTTGGACAAAACCTACGTCATGGGAAAATAACATTTCCGTACAAACGTATAATTTAGTAATAGGTACTAAAAATAATAAAGATTCGCATGTATGGAAAAAATAAAAATAAAAATATTTGCTTACAAGTGAATTACGTCAATTAATTATGCAAACATTTAATGAATTAGGCATGTGAATGAAAATTAAAAATAATAAAACTTAATTGATTAAGTATACTGCGATTAAAAATATCTCCACTTGTTAAACGTTCAACGAGTTGAGAACATAATACAAAGGTACTTTATTCGGTTTAAAGCTCATATATTATAATTTCAAATGAGCCTCTACTATACCTGCCTCGTAATTATTTGTTCGTGGCGTTGTATCGATTTTATTTGACGAGTAAAATAAAAAACCCAAAATAATTATTATGACTATGTACATTGTACAGTAATGTATTCCAATACTAATCGATGTCCAAATATAAATGCATTGTAAGCAGCTTTTTTAATTTGGATCTGATTAATTAACGGTTTACATTGTTACTAACATCGGGTCTTATGATAATACAAATTTATTTTCACAAAGCCTCATTTTAATCGTTACCATTATATTAGATGAATTAAACTTTGAGCTGTTTTACTTTGGGGTTTTATATGAATATAATAGTTCTGTATAACTACACTATTCGGTATTATGTAGACTGATGTTGGTGGAAGCGTACGCGTCCATCAATTATACAATGATGTACTACAGCCAGCAGACACGCAGGGCTCACATGCCGTTCAATTTCAACTTTATCACGTACTTGAACAAAACGTCGTCGGCAGTTGATATAAAGAATACGATCAATCTGTGGTTGGATAACATGCCTCCGGGTCAATGGGCCAACTGGGTGGTGAGTAACGGCTGATAGTTAGATATGTATATACGATTTAAACTTAGTTAAGTGTTTGCGAAATTAATCTACGCGTCACCCCTCTCCATCCAGCCCTTATTGTTCTAACGTCATTGTTTTTAACAACTAATTCAGGGTTATTGAAAAGTCTCAGTGTAGAACATACTACTAATTCCTCACTCGTCTCTAAAAATGATATATAATATGTTTCATTGGCCATCGTACGTCAATCTATTACTGTATAGATAAAAAAATTGAGAGTCCAGTGCACAGTTATTAGACTTTTTTCAATAACCACTGACATTGACGAAGCGAAGGAATCAAAAATAAAATTCAAGTGGTATACGTCACTACCTCTTCACTACTTACTGAGTAGTCTATACCTACATATACACGTATTCCTTAATGGATGCACGTGGAATGCGAATACATTTTTTTGTTTTAAAACTTTTAGATGGGCAACCACGACAACAAACGAGTGGCTTCGAGATTCGGCCAGGACATGGTGGACCCGATGAACACGCTGGCGACGATGTTACCGGGCACGGCGGTCACGTACAACGGAGAGGAAATCGGAATGGCCGACGGTACGATAAGGTGGGATCAGACGGTCGACCCATTCGGCAAAAACGGCGGTATGGCCAGATACGAGGCTAACTCCAGAGACCCGTTCAGGACCCCATTCCACTGGAACGATTTTCAAAACGCCGGTAAGTACACTTTTAGTTTTCATCGAACGCATCGAATAAAATCGAATGAATTGCGTTCCGAAGGGTTTTCGACGTCCCAACGCACGTGGCTTCCCGTGAACAGCAACCATTGGTATCTCAACTTGGCCTTTCAAAAGTCGTGCTTCAGAAGTCACTATCAGACGTACAAAACGCTGTTGCGACTCCGTTCATCTCCGACAATAGCACGAGGAAATCTCACCATGCACACGACGTCGGATTGGGTTTTGATTTTGACCAGGTACACTCGGTATTAGATATTTTGTTATTGTCATTGTTTTTGTAGCGGCTCGGAGCTTATATTGATTGGACTTTAAACAAAATGTATCGCATTAATTGCAATAGTATTTCCGAGATGAACATAACCACGTTTATAACAATTATTTTTTTTTCTTTTACTATAGGTTCGTTTTTGTTTGGGTAATGTGCGTCTAATTAGGTTCTAATTTTGGCGTATTTAATTAAGTGAATTCGATATAGCGTTGGATTCAGGTCGTGACCACGCATTGTTTGTTTTAATTAGCGATTCGTTAGTTAAATATTTTGTATTTATTATGTCCAACAATGAGTCTCATGTGTCACTGTGGATAATTATGGTCCGTCACTTAATACTTTGGATTGTTAATAAAAGTTGTGTCAAGCGTGAATTTTTTTTATGTTTTCAGACAATTGGAAGGCCACGAGACCTTCTACATTGTTTTAAACGTAGGGACAGAACAAGAAGCAATTACTTTAAATGAACATTTTAAGGACGTACCTCTTTATATGATTGTCCGCACTTCGAGCATAAATTCATGGCACAGTGAAAAGTAAGTTTATACTACTGACTAGAACTCTCTAGTATAGGTACGAAATAAGAGAATAAAATCAATGGACATTAAAAAAATGTTATTTTTGTACTCGGTACAACCGTTTTTAAAAACTGTACTCTTCCTAAAACCTATAGTTAAGATTGATATTTATAATATGATATACACTTTGACGGTATTTTTAATTGGAATAAAAAAAAACCGTGGAAGACGCTCAGCTGTATAATATGTAGTGAATATACTTCGTCATTCAGTAGGCCATTGCAACTGATGATAGGTTCAAGTTCAATGATAAATCATTGTATTTAACGATGATAACGATTCTGAGCGGAGACGGGCCTGTCAGCCAATATTTCTAAGGATATTTTATTCATAATTTATATTAGTGTTTTATTATTCAAAATAATATAATATTATATAGATAGTAACTTTGAATTAAATGTTCAATATTTTCAAAAATGAAAATGTTATACATATTGAACTACGAAATAAAATACATATTTTCGTGATTTGGCAAAATTTGAACTTCAAACGCTTGTAACAAAAATATTGTGTTAAATATTTATATTTTTAAATTACTATATAAGTAAAACTAAATATTGTGTTTTAAATTATATTTAAATTTACAAGCTTTTTGGTCAAAATATTTTATAGATACATAACTGAAATGTCAAACACCATAATAAATAAGTACAAATATTTTGAAAATGTCATTGTGTATGGCAATGATAATTTAAGAAAAAGTAAAACGTTTAAAGTTTCTACTATTTATTTTTTTTCTGAATAACAATGAAATAACAAATATCATTTGAGGAGACATCTTTGTTTTTGGAATATCCATTGTAAAAATTTTAAATTATGTCACTCGTAAAAAATATCCTTATGTGGTTTTATGCTAAACTTTTTACTTGATTTATTATTTTTAAATTTACAATTAATTTCGTATTAAATTTTCTAAATTTTCATAACTTAGAATTTTTAGTTTTAATATCTGTGTATTGACATATATTAATATTTTTTTTTGTTTTGCATTTGTGTATTCAAAACAAGGTTGTCATAACTCGTTGTTATTGGAAATTAAAAAAAATGTTGACTAACAGTAATTTTTTATGAGGGTCTTTAGTTAGAATTTTGATAAACTTCGTCATAATCACAATATTTACAAATTATTTGAATATTAAAAATTTGAAATGTTGATACAAGATTTCCATATTATTAAGTTTTTCTGTTTGGCAAAAAAAAAGTTGATCGGGGTCAAATAATTTTTTTATAAGCGTAAGCGTTTGAATTTAAACATTGGATATTGCACCCATCGATTAACAAATTCTTAAAAACGATTTTCATATTTTGTTATAAATTTGGCTCATTTAACATTTTGAAATATTTATAGAGATTGGACATTTTCAATTTGTTTAGTTTTTTTTTTCTATAAATGTCAATACAATTTTTTTTGTTTGGTCAAAATGTTTGAACATTTAATACAAAGTTTCTCGTAGTAGCAGTTGAGAAAAATTAAAGACCATAGTATCTATGCAACATTTTTTTTGTAAGTACCTACTTAAGTTCAAATTGTATAGTTAAAAATAAAATACAGTTAAAATGTAAAACAAGGATTCTCATAAACCGTTCATTTATTAACCAAATAATATAAAAAATATATAAATACAGTTTTTTGGTTACAGACATTTCATATTCAAATTCGAATACATAGATATTTAAACGAAAAATAATTATTTCAGTTATTTTATTGTAATTAAAGATATTATTCGTGGGTAATTGAAACTTTCACATTATATTATAAATAGCTGGTAATTAGTATTATATATTTTACACACAATAACATTTTCGGCAAAAGTTAATTTAACATACTTTACTGTAGTATTAGTAAAGTATAACTATAGTAGTATAGTACTAATGCGAATAATTCCTACCTAATAATAAAATAAATTACTTCTCTTTATATGTTTTCTGTAAAAGGTGATGACAGACAAAAAATAAAAATAATATAGGTACCTATATAGAAATATTAGGTAGGTACCCATTATTTATTTTAATTTAAATTTTTTATTTTAAGTCAATGGTGCTAACTAACTTCTTTCTCATAATTTGTACTACATAATTAAAACATAAAGACCAAAGTCTAAGACAAATTATATTTTATATTTTTAAGATAATAGAATTATAGAGTCTATTATCTAATAAACTATAGCTGTTTGGATAGTTGAAATGACCATTAAGACTTTGGTTGCTCAGTTAATAGAAACATATCGTTCTTATAAACCCAGTTGACCCCTAAAAATCTATTGTGACATTCAATTAATTTTAGTGCGATAAAAATGTAAAAAAACAACAAAATATTTATTTACTTCAAACATTTAGATAGTAATATTATAATAGATGCGAGTGACTATGATAATAACTCTTAGAGTATGTATACCTTGTATAGGACAACACAATTGCGAGTAATATTATATTAATTTATGGTTATTATTTATTAAATATTTAAACAATGTATATTTGTGTTTTAGTGATTATATTGATACAACAAAGCCACTAGCAATGCGACCCAAATCGTCATTAGTGTTATCATATTGACAAAACGTCCGACCCAAAGTACGTAAGCTCACAAGTCTTGATAATAATATTATAATAATAATATAATATTTAATAAACTACGAATGTTGTTAGAGAACACACTTAAAAATGATTTCTTGATAGAATATTTTGATATTGTTTTGATTTTTTAACTATCAATATAGATATTTTCGTAACTTTGTGTTAAATATAAGTCAAATATTGTTTTCAGTTTAGATATTTATTTGAAAATTATTAGATTACTATTAATATGCAATATCCGTGTATTATTTCATATTGATTTCTTGGTACTGATAAAATCATTAAAACTTAAATAACCTGATGTATTATTTTTCAAAAAAAAAACATGCAATACAGTTAAACAAAAACAAAATTTTAAGCTTTATGATATTTAGAAGCCTGCAGGAGGTACCTACCCTGTGGTAATAATATTGTATTGACACATTATTATAAGAGGGTATATTTTTTACAGTATAGTACTTTAGTACCACACGTATATAATATTATATAAGAATAGTCAATAGCAAATAACTCATATGTTCATAATATTATATATATATATATATATATATGTTTCTTAATATTATAAAATATTTTTTTATAGATTGTGATACCTGCATAATCTTCATTAATGAATGAACGCGACAAATATATTCCACTTGAGTGTGATTCATGCATGGAGGACACAAAGGATTAAATAAATATAATGTTTTAATAAATAATGCACTGTTTATTTTAAGGTTTTTCCATTAATTATCAATTAAACAGTTAAAAACAGGTTTTTTCATTATAACTATATAGGAATGTATAGACATAATAAGAAAGTTTTAATGTTACAAAACACATAATTCCGTAATAAATAATTTATTTACAAGTAATATTGTTTTCGCTTTTATTTACAAATAATTTTTTTAGAATATTGAGAACATAAATTAGAGTTGCGTTAAAAAATACTCCAATGCATAACTGTGACTTGACATTAAACAATGAATACTTTTAAGTGGAATTAAAAACAAAAAAATGTTGTCTGCATGCAACCACCAAAGAAGAAACCCAATAGAATGAAGCAACAAAACTCACTGAAACATAAATTAAACACAAACGAAGAAAAAACATTAAGACAAGTAACAAAAAAAAAAGAAACAAAAATGCAATTAAAATTTTTGTATACACAAAACATTCTTCAATAACACCATAGGCGCAATTTGGGGGATGCTTCGAAGTGCTTTGCACCCCTAGATGTATAACTGGCAATAATACATTTCCAAATTGTTTAACACACCTGAACTGTATTGTTTATTTTAATTCGCACAAACGGATTAAATCATTTTCATTATTTTGTATTCTACTTGTTTCTTTTTACTTTCGGTTATTATATTCCAATAGCTATAAATTATTGTTGTCAACATCAATCTATTGCCAATATTAAAGTTTTGTTATTATTATGTTTTTTTTTCTAATGTTTGCTGCCAGTACTATTATTAAAGTCAATATTGTGAACTGTAAAGTGTAGAAGATATTAAGTAAATATATTTGAAAGACACTATTACTCATATAACAATCAGACAAATTTAAAAAAAAACAACCCCAAATTGCACCTACATAATAATTATGTCAATTAATTTGATTAAGTAGGTAACGTAATATTTATCAGGGTTTTTTATATAATTTTACCAACCATCGTTAATAGACTTTTGAGGGTAATACATTTATCGGTTAAAAATTCTTATAACTTAAAGTTTCTTAAAGATTTTAATTTTATCATGATAACTATTTAAAATGGAAATCGTGAAACAAATAGCTGAGTTATTTGCATCATAATATATAGAATATGATATTATAGAATTCGAACAACAAGCCGTTATAGATAAATCAGCGGGTAAAATGATAAAACAATTTAATAATGTCGTATACTATTTTGAGAGTTTTAATAACCTTAGGTACCTCGTACCTACTCATAAAATGTTGTACTCTTTAAGAAAATATTAAATTATTTGATGACGGAGGGTTTATATTATGTTGTATAGATATTAAACAATAATAATCAATCAAAATCAGCAATGGGTTATCAATTAGTTATTTATTTATATAATAATAAATGTGCTTATAATTGTGCAAATAGTTTTTTAAAAAACTGACAGATTGTTAAAAAGTATACACACTTTACATGTGAAAGATTTCTCGTCAATAGTTACTAGTTAGACAACCAATACTTGTTGTAGGTATGTTTTTGTCGTATTAAAATTGGAATTGATTACTTTTTAAATGAGATTTGAGTTGTTTTTTCCTTTTATGTATTAAAAAAAATATTAAGTTATTAACAAAACTATTTTAAATCATTTCATAATTTAAATCTTCTTGGATTAAAAAGATAAATAAGTTTATTTTAGTAAGAACAATATTGTAAAAAGTCTTTTTGACAAATTGATGGAACAATTTACAAACATTTTTCTTTGGCAGTTTTTTGAGTTTTTGAAAATCACAAATTGATATACGAGTTAAATTTTTATATTATAGAATAACAATTTGACATTTTTAAAGCTCGAATAAGTTTTTTTTTAATAAATAAGTAATCATTGTAAACTATTAATAACTCTATTATTCACGATTTGAATCTAAAATTGGAAATTTTTGAAAGCCATTTAATTATAATAGTTAATTATAATTATCGATACCTATACGAATTGTAATAATCGTTAAATTGTTTTATATATTTTATAATTTATAATAATAATATATTAATATGTACACTCGCACTATACATCACACATTAGGTAATGTAATTGTGTCCGTAACTAATTCAAGCGTTATATATTAGGTATATATTTATGGTTTAAAAGCTATTATATAATGTAATTATGAGATAAATAGTGCAATTATTTACGATTAAAAAAAAAAACAGCATTATATAATATTATGAGCAGTAAATTACGAACAAAATTATAGGTATGTATATAGAAACCAGTCCGACGTAGGTACCCTGTGAAGCGGAATATCAAACAAAAGTTTTAAATTTAATAGCGTCTCAGTTCGACGTGATAATACGATTTAAATTTTGAAGCAATCAAAAAATGTAATTCAAATTTTTTGAAAATAAGAAAAAATGTATAAAATGCACCGTTTGAATTTTAAACAGTTCACAACAGTAATTAATGCCAACAAATAATTAATATAAAATACGTGCCATTAAAATGGTAAATTAAATACCATGCGCGCCAAACATATACACCCACAAGGGCCTGATATAGTCATATAGCTTGTCTTGAAGTGTATAGTTCCATCGAGTACTTCCACTTTAATATACATATAATAGTATTGTAATAATATGATGATTAATTAATATAGTAGCGTACGCATGCAAAACATTACTACGACATGACAATATAATCGGCGGGCACGATAAAATCGATGCCTACTGGATATCGATTTGTTAAAAAAAATAATAAAAAAAAAACACTTCCTACCGAAAACTAGAACTATTATATATATAAATATAATAATATATTATCTATTATATAATACTAAATTAGTTTATATGGTTATTATAATATTTTTGTCTCGTTTACCACTATGTTTATAATGCGTGTTATCAATAATTGTTTTTATACAACACTAAAAATACAGACTACAGTTTTTTTTTTTTTTTTTTAATTTTTACTTAAAATATATTACACGACTACGGTGATTAACGGCACTATTAAATTGATAAAAAGGTCTACCATGGATACAATGACGGAAACGAATTCCGAAATCTTTCATTAACACTAACCAACGACGACGATCCGAACAGCCTGTACCACTCCGTCAATGACGATCCGGGACTCGTAGTTATGCTGTCCATATAAATCACGGCCACTCCCATAAACACTTTTCTTCCTTTTTCGCGTCCGTAATCTCCCCACACCGACACCTGTAAAACGGTTAAATATCATTTTTATATTTATACAACATACAAAAATATACTACATACATGTAAACATAGCGTGTACCTATACGGAAAAAATACGTTTTATTTATAAAATCGATTTGTGTGGTACCTACTATTGTATGTTACTGATGAAGACAGTCATAGTTGGCACTATTACGTAAATCGCGAAATGGTCGAATCCTGCTCAGATTAAAAACAGGAACTTGTCGACTAACCGACTTTCAGTTGGTAAAGATGCAATGTCTTTTTAAATGTTTTAAATTGACTTCCAACTATTATATTATATAGTATATTTATATTTATTTTAGGAACAACGCCCTTATTGTAGTACCTACTTTCTTAATATTATTTGATACATATTAAAATAATCATATCCAATTTTTTTTTTTAATTTTGTATACTTATAATTATAATATTTTCATTTCATACATACATAATATATTCAAATTTATAAATTATAAAATTTTTAATTAATTTAGTGCTATATAGCCGATCTGTTAAAGAGAATATGAATGATGGGGAAAAAATGAATTCTATGACATACCTAACAAATAATTTCGGTTATTTTTAAAGGAGGCAATATAACCAAAATAAGTGTAATACATTTACCTAAAAAATGTTAAGAATTAGATTGGTTTATAAATACTATAAACAGATCAATCATCATAGTGTACAGTTTTTTTATATAATTTACCCACGAAAGATCGATCGATTCTGTGGCTATCAAAGCAGTTAGATAATTGTTCAAACAATTAGCAAATCATACTTATTGGTTATTACCCAAAATAAAAGCAATTTAATTATAAAAAAAAAAAATTCATGCTAACCTGGATTAAACAACCAGCTGGGGAACTTTTAAATTTGAGCATTTCCATGTACTTAGGTTGCAAGCTCTCTTTAATTGTTTTTGTACGATGTTTTTCCACGCACTTTTTGCCTTTCACAAGGTATACTTTGACGTATGTATCTGTAAAAATGTTTAAATTAATGTTACACATAATACAACAAAGTCTACATTAAAAAAGGTTCAAATACATTGGTGTTTAAATTACATCATTACGCTGCTATTTTTAAAATCCATTTTTAATGATTTTGAACCTAAAATAAATAATTATGTACTTCATATTTTTATACCTGGAAGCTTTGTTTTCGTTTCCTTAACATTAATTAGATCCTTGGCTTCAAAAACGGTGACTTCCATAAAGTTAACGAAAAAATTGAATCCGATTTTAACGTCACCTCGATATGGAGTCCCCAATATTTGTCGACTAACTTTTTGCCCTGGTCCAAGTTTACCAATGAACGTGGTCACTTCACCCTCGGTGGACTGACCGGCGCTAAAATGACGAATGAAAATATGTTAAATTTTACAACGGTATTAGTTAGTATAAACGACATCGATCTAATCGAACTACCTTAGAAAAAATAACACTACACAATATTCATAACCATTGGAAGAAAAATAGATTATTGGCATAGATCGCCATAGTGCTTGAAGAAATTGATAGTCACGTGAAGACCAAACATGAGAATAGTATATAATAATATATAATTATTGTAATTACCGTTAAAGCATTTTGTACCCTAGAATATAACTTACCTTACCTTACCTTGCCTATTATTATTCTTGCATTTTATTTAAAAAAGTATTTGAAAACCGATACATTGTACGCAAGGGGTGTAAATGTATTAAATTTAAATGTACAACTTTAAATTTAATTCCATTGAAGTCACTAGTCAGAATTCATCTGCATTCAAGAAACCAATATTAGCGGATGACTCGACATTTATTTTCTCTGGATAGCATGAAACAATTATTGTTTTAGGGATGAACCGTACATACAATTCAATAAATCTAATACATTCTCCCGCGTACTATGCATCATTAAAACATTATTATATTTTTTTGTAGGCAAATATGAAACTATGTTATGGATTTAAGATGTATAAGTACTCTTATCGAATCATAAAAGTAATCCGATCAATATTTACATGTGAAATATCTCTAAAGATACCGCGGTTGAAACATTAGTTTTAGTGATAATGATTTGGAAAACTGTACATTGTGAAGTACGTACCTATAGCTATATTTTTGTTACCATTAATATTATCACTTGAAACTTGTTTCATTTGTCTGAACAGCATTGTATGTCTTTTTCTATGTAATATTAAATTATGTCGCTAAAAGTAATTAGAAAAACATTTATTTACAGTTCATGCACGTGCAAATATAAACTTACTATGAAAATCAATAACTAACAATGCAAAGCTTTAAGTAATGGTAAAATGTGCTACTAATGATGAAACGTTGATTCCTACGAATGTACTACTCACCATATTTTATTGAACTGTTTATTTACAAGGTTGAAAAGAAACGTTCAAATTGGAAATCATTTTCCAAATTTAAATCTTTTTAACACAAATTAATAATCAAATGGTGTACACGTTAAGACAATATAATAATAGTCAATAGTATAACATAAAAGTCCACTTTATGTCTCGTTAAAAAGTATTACATCAAGTACTTTGAAAACATATTAAAATAAACACAAACCGTTACATTATTTTATTTACACAAGAACACAAACAAGTTTTTCTTGATATATTATAAATTATAACACAAACAATTAAATTAGTATGTAACCTGCATACCAATTTTTATATTATTATTAATATTGGAATATAAAATTTGTTGATAAAAATGAGCATTTAATTGAACACTTAAGTTTTCCAACTATGGCGTTTGAAATATAAATAGGATCCGTTTTAAATTTATAAACATCGAAATACATCAGTTTATCAATTATACTAATAAAAATAAGCTTAAGTGTTTAATAAGAAACTTATGCAAAATAAAAATATATGTTTTTGTTTCAGATTGGATAGGTATTACCTATATATTATGGTGTTATTTATCAATAATAGTGTAAGTACATAATATATGTTATATATGTTTATAAATAATGCAATTCAGACGCGTTTGTAATATATTTTGGTGATAATATCGTATAACATATAATTTTTACTCTAACCAGTCTAACCTACTCAACGAAATATCAAATGATGTGTGTAATGTATAAACTATATTATTGAATAAATACATTTAATAAGAACCTACAAATTATTGTCCAATACTTTGTAAATTACGTAGGTATTCTAATTTAATATATTATAGGTATTGAAGATTTTTCTTCAACTAGTATAATTAAACAAAAATATGTGAATGTGTTGTACACTTGTACAAGTATTAATGTAACACAAAACACTTACATTAATTTATAATAAACAATTAAGAATGTCAAAGCATTTATCTTAAGCTTGGTAACTATTATGAATTTAAGTGAAATAGTGGTGCAATAATTTAAAATCTACTCAATTTGAAATATATTAAAAACATAAATTATTACTAAATTGTTTTTATACTTAAATAAATAAATATAAGCCCACTAATGAGATAAATATTTTTTTAAACTAAAATAGTTTGCTGCTAAGTACCCAATGAGAATTCAACATAAACGTCTAGCATATTTAAATATAGGTACTCGTAAGTAAACTGAGAAACAAAATTGAATATCATATAAAATAATAACATTTTTTAATGTTACTATATTGGTTTCAACACAAAATAACTGTCCTATAATCCAAATAACAAAACGGGACTTCATTATAATATTTAATATTTGACACCAAATGGTATAATAATATAATATATTATTTGAAAAACCGAAATAATTTATTTGAAATTTAACTAATACAGCACAGGATTTATTATTATTCCATTTTTTTGTTTTACTATTATTTTATATTCGACCCGTTTTTATAGTATTAATTGCGTACAGAAAGTATTAACGTGCATTAAGAGAAGAATTTTAAGCTAAAAATAAACACACAGGCCAAAATAGAGATAAATTGATGTATTTGGATGACTTGGGAGAGAATTAGGATTACTTACGAGCTTGGACAATCGCTAGAAAGACTGGTGAGGCTTGCTTGTCTGCCCGGGGCCACCTCTTGGGACCGCTTAAAATTGGGTTGGGCGCCACCGCCTCCGCCACCTGAACCGCGTTTCCCTTTCGAGCTCCTTCCTTCTATCCAACAATCAATCAAATAAAACAATATCCGAAACAATTAAATTGAGATTGGAGTTCACTAGTAATTAGGATTTATCACAGTGATATGCTATAGGATTCAGGTGATACCAGCGCATATTTTTTCCATATATTTTTATACACACCGTTTATACAGTTTACAGTAAAATGTGTACGTGTGGAAAAACCATACTTCATTATGTACCGTAATAAAGCATTCTACAACTATGCACGAACTCCTAAAGTATTGATATATGACTAAGTGAAAAATACGAAAGATCATCTAACCGGAATACGACTATTGGTTGTCTACAATGACTGAAAATGTTCCAATACCAATAGACGTAACCGGGGTGTTTGTAATTCGCAATATTTACAAGCGTCTGTTTATTATTTTCCATGAAAATAACTGTATTGAATATTTCTAGCGACGATGTTATCTTTTCATAAATATGTTCAGAGTTTGCACAAACATTCTACAACAAAAATTATATGTACACGAGTGATGATCCAATCCCCATGCAAAGGCAAACTTCTTTTTTTTTTTTTGAAAATCATCAAACCAAAACGACAATATACACAGGCTTCTTTGACTTTTACCATGTTTGGTCTTCATCCAGGATACCATCAATATCTCCGTGGTTTTAGAGTAATAATTTTTTTAAGTTTTTTTTTGTCATAAAAAATTACAAATATCATACATTATTAACCTTTCGCCGTCTTGGGATGCTTCACCGTCACTAGAAACGCTGGACGGCTGTTTGACGAGGGGGCGACTTGCCCCAGGCAGCACTTCTTCACTTCTGTGCACCGTAAACGAAGATTTTCCTTTCGAACCAAAACCTAACCTACGCTTGCGCCCTTTAAATCCAGCCCAAAATTAGTAATTTTACTACGAAAAAATGAAATTGGGCAATGATCATAACTATTAAAATACAAATTGTATAAAATACTACTATTCTGGAAATTTTAATAAACTGTAAGAAAAATAAATATTTTAATAAAAAAAGTATTAAATTATTGTAAATATAATTAATAGTTGGATTGGCTATGGTACAAATTAACTCGTAAGTTAAAAAAATATATATATTCAAGCTACCTGATAAATAGTTCTAAAATATAAGTAATGTCTAAATAGTTTTCTAAATTTTGCCACGTTTTACAAAATAAATTGTAACGAAAACTTGAAATAATAAATAATAGTTAATCAAAAGGTATAAGTGTATAACCCGAGATCAGCAAATTGCCCGGTAAAACGATTGTTACAAAATATAGTCTTTATGATTTCATTGGTTTATTTGAGGAATTAAGAATCCTGCTACTTCACTTTTATCAAGGAAAACTAGAATTGTCTCAAACATATTTAGTCATGGAGTGGTATAAGATTCTTTTTTGAGAGTACCACTCACCGGTTGCTGATAATTGCGAAGCTGATGCACTTTTTTTCCCCATACCGGAAGTGGAAGAGTTGGTCCCAGAAGCTGAGCTTTTACCGGCACTTTCTGTTAAGGAAGACGAATCGCCTCTTCGTTTTCCTGAACTACCAGAATCTAAAAAAAAATATCACCAATTTAACAATAAAATAAAACTCCAACTTTACTGTAACCGTACCGGTTATGTTATCTGTTTGTACATCAGCATTAGACAGGCTCCGTGAAAATTGAGCCCTCTTGCTATCGGTTGTTGGTGCCATGACGGGAGATTGTTGTGATCCAGATCTACTGTGCGACGCTCCATAATCACTGCCATGGACAATAGCATTTAAAGGGTCGGTTAAAGCATAACTAAACGCTACAGCAGCGCCACTATAGCTACCCACTACGTCTAACACTGATTCGCCTAAATCTAGAGTCAGGTTTCTTTTCCTACGGGATCTTTGCCTCTCTGTCGGTGATTGAAAACCTAGCATATCCAACCCCGAATCGGAATCATAAAGAGGATCGTGGTTATCAAGATGATTTAAATTAAATCGTGTTTTTTTTAATGGCTTTGGGTTTTCAGTCGGCGAATTTTCCGTTAAAACCGGTCTATTATCTATCGGATGGAGTAAAAAATAATCAGCAGGAAATGAATTATAACGGTACAAATGTATACTATCACGCTTGCTACTACTTTTACTAAAACTACAGCTGGGTGAATGTGACGTTGATGGGTAGCGGTAATCGGTGGCGTTGCAGCAGCTGCAAAAGACAAAACACATTGGTGTGAGATTTTCAGATGTCATCTCATTCATCAATATGTATGTGAAAAATACTAATAAATTTTCGAGCCGATGTAACAAATGTACTCTATTTAAGGAACGTTTACACGCACAATATGCCACTTTGAAATATCAGAAATCTAAATGTATAAAAAAATAGATGAGTAATGATTCTAGCACAATACATACATTCTAACTTAATTTTGTTATATAAAAAGAATGTAAACTTAACATCCTGATTTAGACAATCTTGTTTTCTTTACCAAAATATCGTCGATCTGGGCTGTTCAGATTGAGTAGATAAAGCACTGCTGATAACACTATCGCTATCATCAATATCACAAGTATCTCCAGTTTCTCCTCTGGACATCATTGATCCTCTAACGTGTGGAGGTGTCAGAGATCGAAGTTGGTGCATAGGTATATCACTATCACTTAGTCCACCATAATGGTGTAATCTACCAAGGCCTCCTGTTCTACTCTGAATTCTTCGAGGTTGCACTTGTCTCGTTCTTCTTCGAAACGATGACGTTTGGTCATCAAAATACTGAAAAATACAATTTTAATACATTTTAATAATATATACAGTGCCTATTTAAAAAACTTACATATGGAATTCGTTCATCTAAAGAAGAAGGCATAGTTCCTGGAATTTGGGGAAGCTGACGTTTTTTGGGAGTGGATGTAGGAGTAGCTGTTGCTGACCTAGCTAAGAACCTTGATGGACCTTGTCTATAGCTCTGAATACCTCCAGGATACCTATAGTCTGGAGGAGATAAGCTTCTTCTGTCGGAGAGCATGGTTGGACTTTTCGATCGTGATCTGGAATGTTGGCTAGGAGAATCAGTCGGTGCAGCAGATCTCGATCTATGACTAACACTAGTTGTAGATCGAATTGGTACGGACTGCTGCTACATATTTAATATTATTAATATTTATAAACATCCATATTTTACTGTAGGTATTTACTTTTAAACTGACTTCGTATCCATATTTTTTTTCAATTGTAGTGCCATACACGTATGACTTTTGTAATGGTGACATATCCCTACGACTTTTTCTCCGATCCAAATGATCATAATCCGGCGGTGGGCTGAAAATTCGTTTTTTTTATTTAATGATATAAAGTTTAATAATAATATGCCAAACTATACCTTATAGAACTACCGAGGCTACTTATGGATGCGCCATCAGCTCCAACTCGTCGTCCGCTACAGCAATCATCAACATCCGAAGCATCTGAATCTGATTGCCGAGATAATGTAGATGGTGGAGACAAGTGTTCTCCTGAGTATTCCATATCATAATCACCTATTGTAATACCTCCTTCTCCCTGTAAATATTATTTCAAAATGATTAAACAATAATATATTGCAAATAAAATAAATGTATAAAAAACATACAGTTATTTCTTGATGTGCAGTCAATGGATACCATTCAGCCAAGTTTTCTAATTTCTTAAGTCCCAATTCGATCAGTACCTCTCCAAGGAATTGATTTGTAGGATTGTTATCATAGTCCCATAACGAAATTTGAAGAACTTTAAACTTTAAATCCGACCTTCTCATAGTTGTAAATGAAAAATTTTGATTCCATTTAGGATCAGTGGAATTCATTATCGTTTTAGTCCTTCGTTTGGATTTTTCACTTGTATCCGGTAAAAGGCATACTTTGGCGTATGCTGATCTTGGTGAACCATCAGACCGTGGTAACAGATTTGAAGCGGCCATTATAGTTACGACCAACTTCAGTGATTGCGGGTCAAAACCTAATTTGACCTAAAGCACCCATACAAAATAATAACAAGGTCAGTACTTGAAGAATATATTTGATTTATTATAGTTACCTGTATCTTCCCTCCGACGTGTAAACTATTCGGTCCGCTAACACTTTTGGAAGCCCTTAAGACCCGGGCTGGATTTGAAGCCAAATGTTCAGGACTACCCGGTGAAGTAACCATTACATAAGGTTTATCTTTACGCAAATCATATAAGCCTGAAAAAAATATTAATATTTATTGCTAATGTACATGTATAATTCTTTTTAATTCAATTTTTATAAATCTAATGGGGGTCAGGGGCATCAGTAGGGCGGTTTGAAATCGCGCTAACCCATTGAACTCGTTTTAGCTGAAAGCAAATGAAACAGGCATCATTAATCAATATAGGTATTATAATAGGGACTATAATAGTACCTTCTTAAAATAAATACCTTTAGTTGGAGTGCCATAACTTGCTCTTCTCGGAAGTATTGACCTGGACACTTTGAGCTCGATTTGTGGCAAATGTTTTGATTCTGAAATAATGTCTGAGACTTCTTTCTGTGTTTTTCCTTGCAATAGACAGCCATTCCATTCCAACACCTCGTCTCCTGTTATTATGGACACATAAAATATTAAAATTTTATTAAATTAAAAAAAAATTGAAAAGTTTAAATTATGATTGTTATTTAATTTATATTTTTATCTAATATAAATAACTGTAGGCTACGATTAACTATAATATTATTTTCTTAAAATAAATCACACAATACTAAATCTGTAATAAATAACACTATATATTTAATAAAACTATTTATTTTATTTTTCGTTATTTCAACACCTTATTATGACAGATGAATAGATGATAAAATTTAAAGTATAGACCCATATTAAACATAACACTTGATTTAAAACCATTATATAAAATTAAATGTATTTGATAAATTAAATTAACCGTATTTTACTCAATCTAAACTAAAAACATACTGCTAACTAATATAATTAAATTATATATACAAGTTAGAATATTTTATACCACTAAATATTTTTATAAATTGTTATTTCAATAAGTTTTTTTCTAATATATAACAATTAATATTATCTGCAGTATTTAAGACCAGTGTTTATTAATCAAAAATCAATATATCCGTGTTCTAAATAATCATTTATTTTAAGCTTTACTGTTTAAAAGAATAACTATTTCAAAATAAACTATTATTATTCAAATGAAATTGAATAAACTAACACTCATTTGCATTTCCAATAAGTTATTAGTCAACATTTTTATAAAACAATTTAAAAAAATAATTTGCTTCGAAAATGTTTGATTTTATCAATGTAAAAATAGTTATTAAAATTAATTTTATTAATGTTAAAATGAATGCATGATTAATGATTATTAATTTTATTTCATAAATTTATATTTCATATCTTAAGTTGAACTGTGCTGATAATATAATAATGTATCTATAATATATTATAATTATTAAAAGAAGGAAAAGTTCAAAAAACTTAATTTCACCATGTAGTATAATTTACGGAAAAAAGAAATGTGTTTATAATATAATTTTGATCATATCATGTGTAAATAACCTTCAGTAATTGAAGGTGTAAAAATATAATAAATGTGTTGGCAGAAATTGACATGAGTCGTGTGAAGTCTGATAACTGCCTTTATTTTTTTTTTTTTTGCGAATGGAATTTTTATTATTATACGTTTGATTTTTTAACCGACAGAGGACGGGAGAAGGAGCGACAATGGATGGAGAAGAGAAACAGCAGACGCCGTGTGTCCCACTAACCCGGTTTCAAATTTCCCTCCATGTCAGCTGTACTGCCTTTCCGGACGCGATCGATAATCGCGCATCTCCTTCCGGTGGCCGACAGGAATTTGCCGCCGGTGATTTTCAGGCCCAACATGGCGGCCGCGCTGGAAGACGGGCTGATCGGGGTCTCCCAAACAGACTTGTTAAGCACCATGTGACCTATCAAGAACTTGTTATCGGGGCTCCGTTGCCACGACATCGGTTGCTGCAAACAGAATCAGCATTAGCCCCGACGTGTCGGCTGCATGCGTCAGACCCTATCTAATCGTAACTTAACATAGCACTGATTTTTTTGTTTTTATATGTAAAGTTTTTTTATTTTTTTTTATATATATTGGTATAGTGAATTAGGTGTGTTTGTGTGTGCTTGTATTTGTGTTTATTATGTTAAGAAAATAAAAACTTCAACTGACAAGTATGAATTGCCTCAAATTTTTTCCAATTGGTGAAAAAAAAATCTGTTGTTTTAACCGAAATGAAGACCCACAATCGAGGGTCAAAGAAACAGGTAAATCCATCAATATTTGTTCGTTCAATCATTTTATAAACAGTTAATCGTTGGCAACGTATATAAGTGGAGTGCAACGAATCAATCGTTAGTGTTATTACCCTTCCACTGATAGTAGCTGGATAGCGAGTGGAAGAATCGGTTTGTCTTTTATAATAAATTGGAAAAATGTCAAAAACAATTTATTAACTAATATTGCTCATTGTATATTATATTAATATGTATTTTAAAATTGCATTGGGTATCAATATTAAGAACAAAGAAATTAAACAACATTTTGTTGAAATCGTAAATTAATAATAAATACACAATCCCTAAAACTACTAAACGAAAATTTATCGAATTAATGGGGTGATTAGAAAGGCAAATCACTAACAAGTAACCTATATTCAAAAATAACTAGAAAAGATAATCACTGTTCAACAAAAGTATATATCAATAGATTTGGTATTAATTTCTTTTTTTAGATATTAGTTCCACTCTTTAGAAATATAGGTCTTAATATTTCGCAAAATATTAAAATTGAATTGTTCTTTAACTTCATAAATATATAATATTATTATAATAGGTCCATAAGACCTTTAGCATTAATACCATGATATAAAGTATACCTCAGTAATGTTTTGTTACAATTAGATATTATGTTTCATCAAGTTCTATAATGTATAATTATCATTTAAATCATTGTACTACTTTATCCAATAATATTTTTTTTTAAAAACCATGCTCAACTCAAGAAAGAATAATACATACACAATACACATGCAAAATAATAAAATAAATAATAATATGCATTCAAAAAAGCATTTAGCAGTGTGTAAAAATTGTATCTGGCTCCTATGGATATTTCATATCATTTGTCTTGATGTATATTATAATGTTTTTGTTTTTAAAACTTACTAATTATCAGTTGATATACTATATCAGATATAGGTACCTAATATAAAAGTAAAAATAGATAAAATTGTAAACTGAATTTTATGAAAGAAATTCTCGTTATACTCTTATCATTTCTGTTTTACCTCCTTATCACAATTGGTTTTCTTAAAGGGATAAGTAAATTGTATTATTATATTAAAACCTTAAATTTTCATTTGAAATTATGTGACATTGATGAGATAAAAATTCAATTTTCCTGATACAAATAACTTAAACAAGTATAGATGATATTTAGCTTGGGGACTATAATTCTAACATTTTTTAATAATATAAATGTAATTTTTGCTTCTACCACGTCATATGCCGTATATAAAATATATTATAATATATATATATATATGTACAAAATATATCACAATAAAACTAAATTGTATAATAATAACTAAAATCGTTTATAAAATATATTAAATACTAATCTATAATATTTACTAACTCAATTAATTATACATTAAAAATCTATAGTTATAAGTACAACTTAATATTTGGAAGAAAAATAGTATTCAATTAGTTATAAATGTAATAACAGACAGAGACAATATCATTTTATATTCAAAAAATTTAGTTGAATTCCGCTCAGTAATAACGAATTACACTAATATTTGTTACTAGTTTTTACACTACTAATTTAGTTTAACCTAGTGGGATAATGATCGGAAAACATAGTTTTAACTATATTAAAATTTCAAACGATTTTCCCAAACAGCGGATATGAACTTTTATTATGTGTCATAATTCATGAGCGCGTTCATATTGGTGTTACAAATCAATCGTATACAACTATTTCGACATAGTGAAAATTTGATATTTAACATTTTAAGAATGTTAGCAAACTAGTAATCGACAAGTGGACTTATGCCAAATTGCATAAAAATGTATTATATTAAACATTTAATGTTCACTAAAATGTAATAATGGACCAATTGTGGGCCGCTTTTAATGTTAATTAGTTCACTATTAATCAAATAAATGTTTAGTAATTATTTATGCAGCCCGGCATTACTATACTATAATAATATATATAATATATATCATACATGTACATTGTACCTATGAAATAAAGGCTTTTCAATTAGGCCTTTAAAAACAATTCTACTTTATTGTGTTATTTTGTTTTTTATATTTTAATTCGATGCTTAACGCATTTTAGTACCTTAATGTCGCCGAGGTATATTGGGTCGTCATTGGACGTGAATATCGAACTGCCGGTGTCAAATCCGGAGTCTTTGGACGTTTGTTGTGTCGTTTGATGGTTTCGGTGGTCGAACCGCACAGTTTTCTTTCGCCTCGGTCCATTAATGGTACCCATCTTGCGGTAAATTGCTAAATGACAACACAATGTCATCCCTAACCTCAAACCGCCCAGACTCAAGAGCCCCAACCATAATAATAGAGCGCAATAAATAAAACACAAATATGTTTAAAGTCAAGAGGGTCAAAGAGTGTCACGACGCATGCATGTTTGCTGGGTAACGCCATAAAGAAAAAAAATCAAAATTTAAAAAAACACAAAATTAAACAAAACAATCTCATCCAACACCAAAACAAAAAATAAAAGTAGGTAATAAAATCACAAAAACAAAAATTGAACACAACGATGTAGAAAAATCGTTATTGAATACAAAAAAAAAATGAAAAATAAAAATGGTCTTTACAAATGCCAAAACCTACCGATGATAATGTCATTGAATGTTTATAAGTCTGGTCTTCTCCCGCATTACTCTCTGCGTCACCTGTACGTCAGTTCAATCAATAACATTACTATAGTGTTTGCGACGAATTACATTCGCACCGCGTCCCCGCCTACTCCAAACTTGTTCGCGTTGAAGAAATTTAGAGTATTGACGTGATGATGAGGAGAAGGGTGGGTGTTATCGAAGAACAAACGAAAAACGATAATTGTAAAAATTCAAAAAGTTAATTTTTCAAAAATAGATACGAGCGTATTTCTAAAAAAAAATCCAAAATCTGGAAAAGACTTAAACCGCAAATCGAAATATATCTTTACCTAATTATGAGTACCATAATATATTAAATATATTGGAGCACCCTATGACGTTAATGAATTTACGCGCCGAAGAAGTGTCGGCAGTTATACGCATGCGTTACTGACGACTTTGTACTAGGTAGTCAGTATGCATGGTATAAACTGTGTGTATTATAATAATATTATATAAGAGTGTTCCATTTAACTAGACACACTAATATTATTCGAGTCAATAATCATTATATTTTAAAAAAGAAATAAACGGTATTTTTTAAATTTGTACGATGATACATTTTTTCAGAAATATTATTATAATTTTTACTACTTTTTAGGTCTAAACATTTTTTAACAATAACCTATACATTTTAAATTGTATAATCTGAGGTAATATTGCAACGATAAAGATCAGACTTAAATAATATCTAAGCTATAAACACTTCTTCGAAAACTTTTTTCGATATTTTATACATCTTTAATTTTAGAACAGTTACAATCCTCCTTTGGATTAAAAATATATTGATTGTCCTTTTAGAAAAAATATAAAAAAATTGATTTTTTGTGTTACAGATAGGTACTTTAAATAGTTCAGAATATATAAAATAGTTTTTTTTTTTCATAAAAAATCACAACAATGTATTACTGAGAAAAGGGTTTTCATAGTGTGACTGGTTAAACAGAACATGTTATACTGTATATAATATAATTATATATATACATAATACGCGTGTGACTATAACATAACATTATGATTATTGGTACACACTAGTTGGCGCGATCGACGAACGTCTTACCTTTTTCGCTTTCGTGCTCGTCACAGCTGGTGCACTCAGACGTGGACCGCAGCTCCTCCTCCTCAGAGCTGGAAAAGCTGATGCGTTGGTGCTGGTGCTGGTGCTGTTGGTGCTGCTGGTGTAGCCGTTCGGGGGGCATCGTGTTCCCGGGCCTTTTGTGCTTGCGCACCGGCACGGGACCGGGACCTCCACGACCCCCCATCATCGACTGTTTACAGTCCACCGCAGCAGGACCGAACTGGTGCAGCGGGGGCTGGTGGTGCGAAGACCTGGACGACTGGTTGCCGGTTCCGGTCCTGTGCGACACTCCTTCCAGCTGACCTCCACGATAGTAATCGTCGTGGCCCTGAAACGGTTAACGTTTAGGTATTGTACAGGCGGTTGAGGGTCATGCTCGGCACTCTATAGGTGAGTTCGATAAAGAGGGAGGAAGGGGGAGAGGGATGTATGAGTTTAGACTGTTAAGAGCGTAAAAATAAATTGGTATGCCTATAACGGCCATCTTCTGAAGTAGGTACCTAAGTGTGTTTGTCCTGATAAAAGCTAATCCATTTAATTGGCTAAGCTAATTTTATTTTGCTGGTCGATTTAAACAACAACATTTGATATTTTTTATCACCAACATCTTCAACGTTTTCAGTTTATTTAATGACAATTCGTATAATAATTTATTTATAATAGGAAGCAAAGTACTTTTTTTTAAATGTAGAAAATAGTAATATTGAATATGTATTTTATTTAGTAATTATCTAATATTAAAATTGAAGAAAACTGGTTAGTGGTTACCCGCAAAATACTATTGCTTGATTAAACATATTTACACGGATATAAACATTAAACAAAAAATATTTTATAAAAATGTCCAGTCCCCTTTAAATATTCCAATTTGTGAAATTAAGAATATAGGTCAATAAAATATGAAAAAACCTTAAAAATAGTAAAACACTAACAATATAACAGCGCTAATCAAACTATATATGACAGTATTTTCACAATTATAAAAATTGGCTTGGAAATAAATTTAGGGAGTTAAACACTATTCACGGAGTGTACATTAATATAATATACATATAATTACATAGTCGAGCGAATGTTCGATCTAAAAGTCAGACATTAATATAATACCTTACCTAACTATTCGAGTGGTTATGAAATTAAAGCTGTTCATATTTTAAATAATTTTTAGAACATAAATGCCAGTTAATAATGCGTATAATTCGAAAACCTACGGACTCTTCGAACCGAATACAAATGCATTTCAATCCAAAAATTATTATCTAACTAGATTGACCTTATATACGCTAATACAGTGTATATTATATAATATTGATTACTCTACAGCAGCACAGGAAATGGTCGACACCGATAGCGGTTTGTCGCTTGTGCACTTAACAGTTAACGTGCATTTAACTATTCCGATACAGACTTAAGCCCGTGGCATAATCGTCGATATAGTTGTGTGCAGGTTTTTTTATTTATTTTTATCCGTCTCGAGAATAGCACTTGCAGCACTCTACAGTGCAGCTGTGTATACCGCCTCGCTACTCAGGAACACTACACGTATTGTTTTAACACAAACGACGTTTTTATCTAGCTATTAGACTTATTTTACAATAATGAATAAAGAGGTGTATAACATAATATAGTTTTTTTTTATCGTACGTACGAACTAGCATTTATTGCCTCTATAATTTTAATACGATAAAATACGATGATGACCTTAAAATATATTTCAATTTATTTAAGGCACATTTTGAAAATCGTTATCTTTTCATACGTCCCCTAGCAGTTTGCCCTTTACACACAATATTTCTTTTCTTTGAGTGAGATGGTCATAGATCTGGTGAAGAGGTTAGGTGCCCCTTAATTTTCAAATACCACGGAAAATGTTATAAATTCATATAAAAAACAGATTCGTCGATAGAGTTGTATATATTTTAAAAAGCGATTCTATAGGTTTGAAAAATCATGTTAAGCATTTTAAAAAAGAAGATACAAAATAAACATTGAAATCCGGGCATTACCATATTGTACAATATGTCATTATCTATAAATATTTAATTTTTCTAAACAACGACGTAAAATATATTATATTATATGCGCGTATTTGCTTAGTTCTTCGACTAAATTTAACCCTCCACTATATAGTCCAACCTAACCTGACTTCCAATTTCCTTCCCCACTCTAAAAAAAACCAAGCACTCAGCCAGTCACGGGGAAAAGATAACATACATAGGTAATATAATTAATATAATATTTATTAACAATGAATGGTAAGACGCACTGTGCGATAGTATTCGTCGGTCAGTCCGTGCTCCTGCTCCTTCCGGCTGGACGGCTCCTGTTGGGAGTATTGGCGCCGCAGGAGGCTATTGGACCGCTGCAACAGTGGCACGTTCTCCTTCTCCACTGCGCTGTGTGCTCTCTCGAGCTTGGGCCTCTTATCCGACATCATACAGGGCGACGACACCTCGGAACGTCGGGACGGGTCGCCGCCCGCGGCCGCCATACCGTGGTTGATCCATTCCCCAGACTTGCTGAGAAGCTCTTGTTTTTTCCGGCACAATATGCACACCCATATCACCTGTAATAACACGTTTATAGTTTCTTTACAATTTTTTTTTTTTTTTTTTTAATAATAATTTCAAAGACCCGGTGCTTAAATTTTAGGTTAAAATATTGAAAATGGAGATCAATATGGTCTGTAAAAATATTACCCTCTGTTAATTAAAACAAAAAAAAATAACACATTTGGTTGATTCTACGGGGCAGGATCATTATTCCCCAGTAGAGTGTATTCTTGTGGACAAAATTACATTGACTGGGCTCCTTCAGTGGTCATTAACTATAGAATAACATTTTATTGTTGTTTAACTACATTATCACACCATGCGTTGTAGTCAGTTCATCATAGCATACAAATGTTCTGCCCACCAACACTGTGTAACGTATACGCGTAGGTATTATGTGTTATTGTATTATAGTTGTATAATAATTATGATATGATACAACATCTAATTGGTAATTACCTTATATTAATATATTACTGGACCAAAATGTTCTATAATTATGATATTAGATATACATACAACTATAAAGTCATTATTAAAAAAATAGATCAAAGACTACCATTAATAAGCATTAACGAAAACTAAACTGTTTAATATGATGCATTTGATATTGTGTAAATAAAAACCTACGTTAATATTTGATATCGAAACTATGAGAAAATAACTAATGAATAAATATGATACATTTGAAATTGAAGCGAGTAAAATGAACTGTTTGATCATCAGGGTTGTTCTTAGTACTTTACCATTAACAATAAATAAAAAAAAAACCGTTCAGCACTGTACTTATAATGTTTTTATAAGCGTATGCAAAATAATAATTTCTCAACAGACATTATCGTTTAACTAAATTCAAAATCGTTCCTATTTATTAATGAGAGAATACATTGTACATAATATTATATAGGTACTCGCAGTAAGTAGATACGACACGTTATAAATATTTATTAAATATTTAAATCGTGTAAACTCTAATAGTTTAACTTCGAGACATATTTATGTATAGGTAGAATAAATAAAAAATATATATTTTATTGGAATACATTAGAGATGGTCTACGGATAAAGTCATATTTAAGGTTATTGTTTTATTTATAAAAGCGCCGGTATATAGTATGTGGCGCTTTTTGCGCTCCGGTGCAGTTAACCCCTTACCGCCGGCCGCCGTCCGCACATAACTATATTTATATTTATATTCTGCATCTGTCCCATATAGGCCCCATATTATGTAAAAATAAAAAATAAACTTCCACCAAAAGGCGCCTGGTGCATGGAAAAGTCACATATTATAATATTATATATTTGTTAACATACCAAAGGCGTATATACTAGGTATTATAATATTATATTTCACCATTTCAGCGTTTACCGTACCAACATTGCCACTTTGCAATTAATTTGTACATCACCTTCCCCCCCCCCCCTGACGAAAAATCCTGAGAACGCCACTGCGTGCCAATACCTACTATGTAGTTTGTAGTATGTATACGTATTCGAAACAAACATCGAAATCGCGTTATTATTTACGATTTACGAACTATGGGCACATAATATTATTATATTTTTATTATTTTTGTAGGTACCTATAAAGAAGAAACATTATACGATATGTCGATGTAATAATATTGTACCCGTCAAACAGCAATTACGGCGTGATGTGCGCAATGTAAACATATTATAATATTATATTATTATTTATTATTATATCGCTGCAATCTCGTTGATACAGTGTAAATACTAATAGTTTATCTGCTAATAGTTATCACACGACACATTGTTCCGTTCGGACCGGAAACGTGGTGTCGCGTGAAAAAATAACGTCGAGTACATAATGTACGTGTATAACTCAGTGTAAGTATGTAATATTAAAATCGTAAAATATATATTTTATAGCTGATATAATACCAAAGGGGTTATTAGGTCGTAACAATTTTTACGACCTAGTCTTTTTTTTCCGTTCCGCTAAGTGCTAATCGTTAAATGCGCCTCATTTTCACTCGAATAAATGCGATACTAATAGTCTCCGCGAGCGCACAACCACCGCCATAATAATAATAATAGTATAATAGTGCGCACAATAATATCGTTCATGTCAGTGGGATAAATATTTTTCCTTGTCAGTGGTTCGGATCGGAATGAAATATTTTCCGTACACACACGACGACATCGTGCGAGCGAGCGCGTGCACACAAATATCTATAGGTTTTCACGTGACCGAAAATATTGGCGTTGAGTAAACACGTCGTTTGTTACCGTCTGCAGTATAGTAGGTATGTATATATAATACGAAGGAAGGTACCTACGCATTTTACGGCTGTATAATAGTGTTATGTGTATGTATACAACAATATAAAAATGTGAGTAAATATAAATCGTAATAACTATACGAAATACACAACAAGATAAACATACACGTCGTATATGCGCAATTCGGGTGGCGTCGGATTTGCTGAACGGAGTAAATTCGGCGTCTATGTGCATATACGCGCGTTTACGAGCTCGTTAGAATACAATTTCATATAATATACGATATTTGTACAAGACGCGAGGCGAGTGTTTTCTTTTTTTTTTTCGTTTTTCGTATTTTCTACCCCGATAGTACATGTGGCACACGAGCGCGTTCGCGATATCGTTATGATGTGTACATAGTAATAATAATATTATAATCGTTAAGATAGAGGTGCTGCTTCTCAGTACTGCGCAGTGTAAACCGGCCGAAAAACACGAAAATATGTTTTCGAGGGGAGAAATGGTTTTTTTTTTTTTTTGTTTCATCCCGACGGCGGAGTCGCGTTATCCACTGTCGAGTAAATTGAACCGTTAAAATAATACCTATGTCTGGAAAATTGAAAAACAAATATCCGTGCAAAGTTAGTAAACTACGGCGGCGGCAGCGGCCCTCTCCCTGCGAATATACCTATACACACACACACACATATTATATATTAGACTACGCCGCCGCTGTTGCGATCAATATAACATACGTCATGTCCCGCAAATCCGTGACGTCATTGCTCCCACCCGAAAAGGGGCGGATGATACCGAGTTGAATGCACCCCGTAAACCGTTGTCCACGTATATATATTTTATAATATAATATTATTATATTACGAGCGCGAGTTTCGCTGGGACCGTCTGCAGCGGCGCCTGTGGTGGCGATGTTTTTATATTAAAAGCAATACTCGCGTTGATATCAAAAAACTTTAAATTAATAGAAAACAACGAGTTTTTTTTTTCTTCCCTTTTGAAAAAATATATATAACTTTGCAAGCGAAAATAAACGAATTGGACGCAGCGCTGTTCTCTATTTAAGTACCCCCTCGTCTTCCAAACACGGCGCCCTCACAAACAACTACACATACACCTTATTACAACACATGATGGTGTTTCACGTGCAGTGTTAGTGACATAAGCCCGAATGAAGCTTAAGTTTAGAACGCGTCAATTCAATTAAAATCAGAAACCTTTTTATTAGCCTATTTTTTTTTCACATTTCCTCGACGAGTTCAAATAACTTAGTTTTAAAAAAAAAATTAAAATCTTCACAAGACTATCAATAATAAATTATGACAACATAAATAATACAAATAAACAGTTTGGTTTTTTCTGCACCCCACAGATGAATAACATTCAATGCATTGATCAATTATTTGAATAGATAAATTTAAGGAAGCGGAACGCCGACGTTTATCTGAAATACGTTTTCCGCCGTTCGATGTTCATTTACATGTAACATTCGTGAGAGTATAATACATTATATTGTCAGATTGGGAAAGTGCAAATAACTAGGTCAAAGGATAACTGATTCTGTAAACTTATAAGCCTTGATCGGACTTTATCACTAATATACACACACGCACAGTTGTAGTGGTACGAAGTAGTTTCTTCTTACAAACTAAAACGTCTTTAAATGACGCAAGCTAAAAATGAGCTGATGTAGGTATATAATTTTTTTATTTTTAACATACCTACTATACCGAGTGTAGCTAATCAGGTTAATTTATCCTAGCATTCAATCATAGATGGTTATTGCTTTTATTATCCACACAAATATTAGACATCAAAAATGTATGGATAAATCATAAATATTAGGTTGAAAATGAATCGTAATCACGAATTTTTACAAGTAAAAAAATTTCGTATCACAGCTAAAAATAATAAATACTCCCCACGACCATCATGTACCTATTCAAAATAAAACGAACGACGACTAAATTACTTATTTTTATTTACATAGCTATGAGTAATTTATTTTTCTATTACTAATAGGTATTGTAGGTGAGTTAATCTTCGGTAAAAACAAATCGCATATATTTTGTAATAGTTTTATAATATTATTTCATGCAATATTATTGTATATAATATATATTATGTTATTAATTTATAAGTTAACACCTAGTACCGGCATACCGTAGGACGGTGTGTTAAGTTCCTGGAATAAATAGCATGAAATTAATCAAAATTAGAGTTATTAAAATAAAATTGAAAATTTTAGATATTTTTAAAACAAAACTAATTAATAATTTAACGATATATGTTAAAATATGAACTTTAAACGCTAATTAAATAAAAAATTAAGCGAATGCATTAAACCTTGAAAATAATCAATAAAATTAATTAAAATTGAAAATTTTATTTATTTTTAAAACAAAACTAATTAATAATTTAACGATATATGATAAAATTTGAACTTTAAACTCTAATTAAATAAAAATTAAGGGAATGAATTCTTATATTTTGAAATAAAATTGCTCTATAAACAACTTATGCGGGATCTTGCATTACTACATTTTCTAGCTTTTTACTCAAATTGAAAAAAAGCTTATAAAGTAATAAATTTCAAATGTCTTCAAACCTAGCACTAAAAGAGCCAAAATATTTTGAAACTATACCATGTCTAGAAAAAGCTAGTATAAATATTTGGTGATAATGTCTTTTTTTCCCCCACTCTCAAGATTATTTTGAAAAGTACTCCGACATTTTTTCATTTTATCTCTAAAAAGTATTAACTAGATCCAATTTTCAATCAGAAATCACCCTCAACGTTCATAGTTTTTTGAGTTCCCAAATGTGACACAGACACTCAAAAATAAAACACATCATTATAAAACCAATACATTATATATCGCTCCGCTTTGAATCTAAATTATAGTTTCTAAAATTCATAAATCAATTATTTTTATACAAAAATAATATTATATACGTATTTTACTTAATATGATTTTATTTTTTATTTTTTTGAGCTAGGTTATGATATTTTGCTGTACATTGTTTATAATATAGATAGTTGATTTATTTGTCTTTGTAGTTATTGGAATATCATTATTTAATATTAAGTAATTTAAGTTAACCATAAAATAAAAACGTTAAAATGTTTTAATTATAGTTTTATAGACATTTCAAATGGTAATTAATTATTTAAAATTTAAACTAGCAAATCTTTTTAATATATTGTACAAAAGTTTTATTTTATTTTTTTAGCAGTCATTCTTTGTTTAACTTTAATTTCTAAATGATTTTCACAGTTTTTTGATAAAAATATAAATAGTTTATTATATTTATTAAAAAATAGCAAAATAACTTTGTTTTTTATTCTATTAGGTACCTACAATATTATGGTGTCAAATAGAGTTCTTAATATATTATAGATGAAATGTATTAGTATGATTAGTATTAAGTTGTGTATCATCAAAAAATGGTTTTGATAATTTTATTAGCTAAGTGCACTTATTTACACTTTGCATATTATACAAATACAGTTTTAAAATCAGTAACTATTTTCTTATTAGAAGAAAAACTTACAATCTGTATGTTATACATACTCATTAAATAGGTTAACTAATATATTTATAATAATTACAAATCATTGAAACACAAGATGATGGAAGCCATCCTGCAGTAGTGCAGTGATGAAACCCTTCAGAACTGAATTCGTTTATTTAATCAACTAATTTAATAGGTCACTGCACCAGCGCCTTTTGAGATAGAGTGGTGGGTTATCAGGAAGAGTGCATGATGATAGGTACTAAAGGGTTAGGATGTTTTCATATTTCAAGTAAAACCTATTGTAATGGATTTTGGTTAATTGATCAACAATTTTCATTTTTAAGTCTTTGTGTAGGGAGAGATTTGTTGGATACATACCGGGGGGGGGACTATTAAACGAAAAGTGATGGATTGGAAGATAGCACCCCAAATGTACATACTATAAATCCAATTGGGCATTAGTCAAGATTTGTACAGTGTTAGTTGATAGTTTGGATCTAAATAAACAGGTGAAGGCCTATTAGGTTAAGTATTTTTCCTTCAGACTTTTGGTGAGGACCCCGTGTTAGTCGTTACTCGTTTATCCAGTATAATATAATATAATTTCCAAATATTTGACCTAAACCGTAGTAGGTTTCCCAACACCTTAAAGTTAAAGTAAAGAGAAGTTTTAGATTTAATGGTATTATAATTTTGAAATTTAAAGGGTACATGGAAAGATTTTTTGGGGTTTATTAGAATTTTCTACCTGTGTCCCCAGGTGTTTATTGAATCGAGGTGATTTTGGAGATAGGTTGAAGCTTGAACGAGGCCTAAGTAGGTGGATGCCAGTATAGCTGTATTGTCAGCATAGGTTGCTGCTGTAGGAATATTAAATTAATCGGGTGACAAGTAAATTCCTTGAGGAACGCTGGAAGATATTGGGAACTGGGAAGTAAGAAGATGTTGAGTTGCCTTGTCGAACTTAAAATTTTCTATTGCAGAGATAATAGCAGATTATTAGATAGTAATATGCTGGAAAAAATACATTTTATTTTTAGAGTCACGCCAAACTCTATCAAATGCTTGGGCTACGTCTAGAAAAACTCTGAAACAGTATTCCTTATTTTAAATATTAATGGTTTAATTATTTTAAAGGTTCTTTTTCAAATAAATTAGTAACCTTAAGAATAACCTTACTAGTTCAAGGTTAGCCGGCATCAATAGACTATCGTAACTTAGTAGTATATAGGTATGTTTAGTGTTTACGTTTCAATAGGTGACAACAATTTTATCTTATTGTTTATGATTGGAAAACTTAACAAATCTAAAAAATTATCCTATAGAATTTCAAGCCATTTTTTACGAGTATTACAAAAATCGGTTTTTATAATAAGTTGCCAAACATACTGCAATCTTATTCATTTGTAGATTTGTAGGGTAAGTATTTCAAAACAGTCACACCATCTTGAAGAATATCTTGTTTTTGTGTATAAAAAAGTTATTATCAACCTTTTCAAGTTAGATTCGAAGCCCCCATTTTAAAATCAGTGTATCCCACTGTAAAATGTAGATTATATTTTATCAGTTAACACTTTGGCCCATGTTTTCTCAGGGTAAATAACTGTTTTTAATCAAATTACAGACATTAAGTATTGAATAAAAATTGTGAATAAAAACTTGAAATCAAAACAAATTTCATATTATATTTAAAACAAAACAGTGTAAAATTATCTTTTAAAAATAGTAAAATAAAATATAAATCATTTATTATCAATAATTTTAACAGGGTAATATTGGTTTAATATTTTAACTTTGAATTTTAAAATATAACGTTATATAGGTATTAGGTATAAATGTATACACATAGTATTACCTATTATACATAATATCTGCTCTAAGTCCACATACGAAAATGTTCCCTATAAAGTTAAACTAAATAGTATTCAATTAATATTTGTATCACAACATTGACGCAGTAGTGGATTTATTTGATTATAGGTACTGTCGAAATATGTGATTTTAGATCAAACAACGATATAAATACTAACAAAGTAATAACTAATTACTAAATATCTATATAACATTGATAAAATTATTAGAACTATTTTTATTGAAATATTTAGAACTTGAGAAGTATTGCATAAAAAAAACCAGATGGACACTTCATAATATGATATTATTGTCTATTATACATTTGTATGCTTCAATTTTAATAATTAATCCTATAAAGTTTGAAAGTCTCAGTACTTAAATACTATAGGTACCTATAACCAGACATGGTATTTTTTAGTTACACAATATTTAGTCATACATATTATGTGTTTAAACACTTAAATATGTGTTGTACACCAAATAAAGATCCAGAAAAATATTCAAATGGCTTTTTGTAGTAAAAAAGTATGATTGCTTATTAGATTTCAATCCATTAAAAATTTCAAATCAAAGCTATAATGTTTGGGATTTTTTTTTTATAAAATATTTTGACTATGTAGGAAAATATTTTCATTGTATCCGCCCATTCCATCAGTGCCGCTAATGGCCGTATATAATTCTCCTATACACATCATTACCATATCCATTATACAAATTAAGTTAACTGGTATTAAAATATTATATTTTATTTATTCATATTATGTATAGGAACTAATGAAATACTAACTTTGCTCGAACGCAGGGTAACCTTGCCACCACACCTGGCACAACATCTGATACCGCAATAGTTGCACAGGTGTCCGACACCGTCGGCAAATTTGGTCTTCAGGCATATATGACAAGTTGCGTCCAACTCGACGCCTGCCTTTTTTTGCTGTTCACTGCGTTGCCGGATTTTCTCTTCCAATAAAATTACTTCTTCTTGCTTTCGCCTGCATAAAATTATAATTATTGATATCGTTTCAGAATCTTCTGCGAGAGATTGTATATTGTTAGTTAGTATAGTGATGTATAATTTTCATTAAATGAACAATTTTTGTGGTACCTAGTACCTAAAATAACTTAACGATTTTTTCGTAACCTACACCTACTATTATATTCATTTCCAATAGGCACATAGATTTGAAATTAAACACAATTGGTATTTTTAAAGAGTTATTTTCAAATATCTATATAGTAAAAATACCTAAATAATTGTAAAAAAAATAACTAAAAATCAAACGTCTACAGTTTTTAACAGATTTTTATATTCAGAGAAACCTATCTTCTGAATTCAATGACTAATCATCACTGCTTTTAAATTAAAAAACGACCATTCCATTCAAAACTTTTTTTTTTTTCCAGCATATATTATAATATTGTCATGAACTAATTATTTTTAAGTTCATAAACTTTTATTCTACAAGGACATCCAAAGCCAAACACTGAAAGATTTTAATTCCGTTGAAATATTAAATTGTGATACTGAACAATTGTACATCAATATTTTTATATACTTATTGATAATGATCAAAATACATAGGTACTGACATGAAATACTTCCTAGTAGATGGCAGTAACAGGGATGTAAAAACAAAAATGTTATGCTTCCAACATGTTACATGACTAATTTAGGATCGTGGCCTACTCCATCGTGGAATATAATTTAATACAAAACTATTTATAAGTTAGTCTTAGAATACATTTTGGTGGTTTTTTAAATTACATGAAAATATTAATGGATACTACCAAATATCAGTTATACTTTCATTAAAATTTATGGTGCCAACTGGGTGCATAATAGATGTACGATCAAAACAATAATAAGAACAAATACTCACACAGGTACCTACTACTAGTTCGAGTAATAAAGTTATTAGTTATTCTAGCGTAATTTTCTATGATTCAAACAATGCAACAAAAACGAAGATGAAAAAATTATAAAATCAACAATGGCGTTGTGGTAGTCTGGTAGCCATAATGTTAGGACAAAATAAGTGATGGACAAGTATTTGTTGAAAAATTATTAAAGCATACTGAACAAAACGATTCAAAGATTTTTGGTGTTGAAACGTTAATAGATATACCTTAAGTTTTCTTAAATAAACAAATTATTGGTTCAGCGTGGAGCTTATCGATTGGCAATGAAATCTCGACCTGGGTAAAGAAAATCAAAATTCATCGAGGAATATAACATGTTGTGGTGAAAAGATGGGAGAAAGTCGTTCGAGTGGTTGCTATTATCATTATAATTTACCATACAAGAAAAACAAAATATCCAACAAATATTTTCGCCATAATATATAAAGTTTGATGGTGAAACCTTCTCACAAAAACCGAACCCATCCCCGCTCCCATGGCCGTAATCTCGCAAGATTGGTGCGGGGGTGTCAGGGCCTAAATGCGTCGTAGTCGTAGCTATCAAAACACCAGAAAATCCAGTGGTGTCGACGCGACCTCATAGAACATTATTATACTCAACCCACATCACACACCCCTCCCCACCAAAAAAAAAGGCTAGGACGACCATAATAATCGGACGCGCGCGTATTTCACGTATAATATTATGTTGCGCGGTCGGTTCACGCGCGCGGTAAAGTTCAAAAGTTCAACCCCACCGCTACCGCCGCCACCGCTGCCGCCGCCGCCGCTATCGTTGCGTGGCAGCGGTGGTGGCGGCGGCGGTGACGGCAGCGATGGTAGTGCCGCCGTGATGTTATTATTATAATATATTACGTGGTACGAGCCGCCGTCACACGACACCCACCCCAATTCCACCCTCCCACCGCAACCACATGAAAACCAGCAATCTTCTATTATACCGACCTCATGATTTCCTGTTCCTTCTGTTCCTCCTGTTTTTGCCTGTGCACTACGGACTCGATGATCTCCCGTTCCTCGGGCGTCAGGTGCGACAGGTCCGGCATCTCGGCAGCCATTCTCAGTACCCAACACCAGCACACGGCACTAAGAAGCGCCACCACCCGGCACAACGACGGTGCTATGTGCGTCGTCCCGTGCGCCGGTAAGGCGGTCATGGTCAGCCCATGGACGTGTCGCGCTCGGCCATATCGCGGTCATCGTGCTGGGGACGACTGCGTGGCGCCCGCGACGACGCCGACATGACGACCACCGCGGCGGTGCTGCGGATGGCGTCGCGGGCGTCTGCGGGTCAACGGTGCGCGTACGTCCCGATGCGGAATAACACGGTCGGCGTGCCGGTGTGCCGCGGCCGCGCCGGACCGCCGGGCGGACGGACGAGAGATCGCACTACGGTGACGGTTGTTTTCTTAAGGTGACGCGGTCCGTCCCAATATAGTTCGTCGTCTGGCGTGGCAATAACTTAGGCGATGGCGGTGAGCTGTTTTCGCAGTCTCTGCAGCTATGTTATAGTGACGGCGACAATGACGGCGGTGGCGGTAGTGATGGCGCGTAATATGGTGCTCGGTTGTTCTATCACTCGGATACACGGCGACAGAGTTTTCCCTGTCATTCACATACGACCGTGTTGCTCACTTACGTCATAGGGCCCCCCGGAGTATCGATCGCTGTCGGTGGTGGCGGCGGTATCGGCGCCGTTCTCTCACTCTGAATGGGACACGCCGAAACGAGAGTCGTGCGCAAGCGTACAATACGCTACTATTACAACGCACCAGTGAGGTGGAGCGCGCGACTGTCGGCGGCAGATGCTACGGCGCGGTCGCGACGGTGGCGATATATATATTACACAATTTTGTGTCTGAGCGTTTGCGCGTGCGTGCGCGTGTGAGTGTGAATGTGTACGTTTATGCTCTCGAGTTTCTGTGTGTGTGTCTGTGTTGCGTGTGTAGGTGTGTCTGTGTGTGTGTTAATATGTGCGTGTTTGTATGTGTGCCGTCGACGACGACGACGACGACGATAACGGCGGCGGCGGCGACGACGATCACGGCGCGACGGGCGTGTTGGCCGATCGACAGACACCGACGCACTGACGCCCCAAAAGCTCCGTCCGTGCGTGTATATAGATATATACTTATAGTGTGTACTTACACCGCCGCCGCCATGCGTACCTAACCTAACCATCGTTTTAATATATGTATATAAGTATTGTAGTATGACGGTAGTAGTATATATATGTACATAAATATAATATGTATATAATATATATATATATAGATTATAGATAGATGTGTAATATATAGTATATACTTCATAGTAGTAGTGGTAGTCGTATCCGTAGTGGCCTGCCGTCTCTGCCTAGCGGAAAATGTCGGAAAACCCGGCCGCCGCGGTTCTTGCAGCCGGCGGCGGAGGCGCCACGGCGAGAGACGCGACAAAAAGAAATGACATAAAAAAAAAAACCAAAGATAACTGGAAATTAATATCGGTGTCGTCGTAGTCGTCGTCGTCATCATCGTCTGGCCCCGACATGATAATATTATTATTATATCGTATCCGCGGCATGAATTGTATGATTTGGGATGTAATATTAATATATAAGACAGCAGCTGCAATGTACGTCATAAATACAGTATTTTCAGGGAGAACTGAACTATAAAGTATTTTGCAGTAGTTCGAATTTTTAAAAAAAACTACCTATTGTGATTGCCTACCTATGGTACATTTTGGGTACTTGTATAAATAAATGTAGTAATTCGTCCACCATTCAGTCCGATTTTTTGTTAAATACCTATACTTAATAGAATCTCAATATTATCTCAAATAATGTAATAAGACATATTAAGAAGAAATTTAAATTTTCTCGATGCGAGATTAGTGGAAAATGTTTTGACGAGTACATGATATCAATAATCGTTAATTTCATAAACATTTTAATATTTGACAAGAATAACACATCTGGTATGATATTATGTTATATTTGTTATTCGTTTGTTGTATATTCAACATTATTTTGAACATTTATAAAAAAAATTGATTTAAGTGAACCATTATTTTAGGAATACTACGCATAAATTATTAAACTAACTAAAAAAGCTATAATGGCTAGACTCTTCGTGACACGTCACGCGTCGTACCTACCCGGAGTGATAAGAATTAAGAGTTGACATTATAAGACTTTTGACGTTTAAACTACCGAATATACACAAATACACAATAAATACGAAACGTGGCATATTCTTTATTCATTGAAGCCTCCCGAATTTGGTAGGTGGAATTTTTTCTAGGGAGAAACTGAAACTACATTATTATCTATTATTCATGCGATAAACGATTGCTTTCTCACATTCGATAATACGTCCCATTGAATAGTAGTACTGGTTATCAAGTATTGAAAAATATAAAAAGTTATTCGGTCATTACTATAGGATATATTATAATATTACATTTTGATGATCGATGACTGAAGTCGACAATCATTACAAATATCGTTATTTTGACTATATATGGCTGGTTTTTTTCCTACACACTCAATTATGATTATTATTATTATTATTATTATTATTGTATGAATATATAATTTGAATGCAACCGAACTATATAGCATGGACCCTACGGCGTGGTGTGCGAGTTTATTAATTTAATATATTCGTAAGCCGCTTATACGATATCACATTATTGTTATTAAAACGATAGCGGAAAATGTGTTTTTACTAAATAACAGTCGTAATAAGAAAATCAAGCGAACGTGTGGTTTGTGGAAACCATCTGGTCTATAAAGTAGGTAGGTATGTTTTTATTGAAATGAGACATACCTAATACACGATACGAGTGAATATGTTATATAACATCAACACAGTACTGATGTAAAATATGTTTTGCTAAAAGATAAATAACAAAAATAAAATTTAATACATTATACAATTTTGATCTTAATGCTTAACCATACCATACCATATTTCGATCATATTCATATACTTAAAAAAAAAGTCTATATACAAATAATTATCTATTATTTATTTTTTTTAATATTTGTTAAGACCTTCGGAGGATACCTAGTCCTAGGTAGATAAACATATTAAGTTATTATAATTTATAATTTATAGAAGCTACTAGTCTCTAAACTATGGGTAGGTATTTTTTTTAAAACTCATTCCACTCAAATTTTGACGACGAACACGGATGCAACCATATTGTTGGTATAAATTTATAATCCTATCTTGTTATTCCGTATGCATGTAGCTAGAAATATATACCATATGCATTTATTTTATCTATTATATCCTTTATTATATACATAGAACACTGTTAAGTTGTACTGAAGAAATTATTTTCCTAATTTTATGTATACAACATAATATAGGTATACATCAAATTATATTATTTTTTTTTTTTTTTATTACCTGCTTATCGATATTATATCGTAAGACTTGTATGATATTCCATTATATTATGCATCTATATAGAAGGTATGTTATATGTTGGAGGCTAAGTTCCAATGGACGTGTAACGGAAATAAGAGTAGACCCAATGTGTTCGTTTAAAAGTCACAAAATATGTTTAGCGTTTGGTACCACAGCTAAAACGATATAATTATCCTTTGTATTCACAACCTTAACGTATTATTTGCAAGTTATGGCGTAATCACTTCAATTTGACTGTCGATAAAAAAAAAGTACCAATACAGTTGTCGGTTATTATTAAACCAAAAAATATATAGCTACAAACGAACACAAGAACACAATTCAATATGACAATATGTATACATAAATGTATAATAGTTACATAATAAGATATTTATAACCATGAACGCATATTATATAGGTATATATATAATTTGTTTGACTTCGGAAAATTATTCATCGATGAAAATTTCCAAAGTAACTATGATTCATGACTTTTGTCGGTGACATATCCCCTATCTGGCTCTTGACGTGAGAGCCGTTGCCCGTTGTATATAAAGCTTAGACAAGTGGCCGAATTAGACATATGGTTCTACTTTATTTCGAGTATAAGAAAAATAATAATTATCATTTATATAAAAAAAGGTTGATTTTATTATAATTTATATCACATATTGTTATTGTTAACGCACATAGTATAATATGATATGTAGGAATATAAAATGATTGCCTAGTATTAAGCACACAGACGGACAAAAAAGTATATAATATCAGTATAATTACCATTTTTGTTTAACTGCTCTACGAAATCGATTTTTGATTTATGACTGTATATTGAAATATACCAAAAGGCAGAAACATAATTTTTTACACAATTTTACTATTTTCGTGAAAACTATAATAAATAGCATTTTACAGTCCTAACATGCCCCAAGTACCATCTGTGTCCGATTTTCAATCAATAGAGCAGCTGTATGAAACTTTTGGAGCACTTTTACAGCCCCAAAAAGTATTTTTCGAAAAAAACACATCATTACGAAACCAACGTATAACATCTACCCTCCCGCTAAAATGCAATATAATATACTTAACTTTAGAATACATAATATAATATATAGGTACTCTAGATAATTATATGTACTATGTGCGTATAATTATAATTTTTATCTTAAGAGGACGTGATAACGCATGTGTTGTCTCCGTCTTACAAGTGCGTAACATAGGAAATTCTACGTAAAGCAGAACATGTGTAGCTCCGTTAGTTTAAAAATTAGAGTGAATTTACCTCTTATAAAATCTTAAGGTAAGATTATTATCTAGACAACCTCATGGGCTTTTTATTATTCTTTAATTTTTAAGCGAGCTATGAGTATTTTAAAATTGTAAATTGTTTACAGATCTTAAACTACTCATAACTAGCTTAAAAATTAAAATATTAAAAAAAGCCCACGAGGTTGTCCAGATAATAAATTTACCTTTAGATTTTATAAGAAGTTAATTAACTGTAATTTTTAAATTAACAGAGCTACACGTGTTTTTCTGAGCGTAAAATGTGCTATGTTATGCACTTGTAAGACGGAGATATCACATGCGGGTATCACGTCCTCTTAACAAACTATAATTTGTCTTGATGATTTTTTGAGCATCTACAGATAGTTTTAATATTATATAGTTATGAATAATTGAAGATGAGTAATAATACTGTCTGTATGTAAATTGTCAATTCTGAACCATTTAAAAAAGATTATTTTTAACGATTTTGCATCACAAAAAATATCATACAAATTATTCTTAAAGCATGTTTTTTAATTTAAAATATAAAAAGGTGGACAAGTGGGCACCGATCTGCTATACAGTAGTTGTTGAGTATGTCATTGTAATGAATGTGTTATATTCCAATTCAATGATAAATCATTGAATACGAAAAATAATTCTGAGCGGAGATGATAAATATACCATAACTTTTATAGGTGGTGGATGGGTATGAAAATCCAATATACGTAAAAATTTAAAGTCAATCACTCATAAAAAATTAATGTTTCTTTTCGGTAATTTTTTTTTTTTTGATTAAGGTAGGTAAATTTGGGAGGAGTCTTCTTTCAGAGTTACATACCAAAAAAATTAAATCTTTTTTGGGGTAAAAACCATCACTTTTCTTTCACTTTTGTTTTGTTTTTCTCGACGCTTTCTAAACTTCTTGGAATTTTCAAGTCAGAAAAGATGCTGATCTCAAAAAGTGAACCACTAACACCCCTCTATATAACCCACTAGTCATAGCTCAGAATCGTTTTGCGTATGCAACAATTTATCTTTGAATTACAATTTAACCCAATATTATACATTACAGTGACATACTAAATGACGAAGTATATATTTTAATATTTTATCAACACCTGCTGCACATCATTGTAAAACCAATACATTCTTTCGCTCCGCTCAGAATCTAAAATGACGAAAACTAATACTAAATAATAATAATGCGAAAAAACAATTAATATGTTTGACCTTTGACAAACTCATGTCCAAAAATTAAGGTGTTTCATTTATATATAATATATAAAATACTATTGAAGTAAATATAATTTGAAGTAGACTAAAACTTATGGATATGATATAAAAGCCTATTTATTTTGAGAACTGAGAAGTAATAGCGGGAGGAGAGATGCTTCTCAATAAAATATAAACAATATTGTAAATTAAAAATAAATTTTAATAAAATTATAATAAATATTGTTGTCAATATATTGCAAGACCGCCGTATTAAGAAACGGGATACTGGGTATGGTGATGCAAATATCAGGGAGTCCGATGTTCTGATTATCGTTCATGCATCGTGTAGTAATTAGTCACTAAGCAATGAGTATAGACTTTAAATCTTTAAAATACTTAAATCTACTTATACTATTTCAAATAATTTCACTATTTGGAATTATTAACACCACTTCAGATTTTGTATTAAACACTTAGTTTATAAGTTTATGAAAAATGACTTGTATTTTTTTTTAAGCTATTAAAATGTTGATTAATGTAGGTATCTATATCTATATATCTAGAATATTTTGGTTGGATTTTCTGTATATTGATTGATTATCCTTTTTCAGTCATGTATATGAATTGGTATCAATATATTTTATTCTTTCGAAGATTATTTTCAGGTATTGATTTTACGCCAGTTTTCTTGTATACTTATATTGACTTTGGAAATGTAAAAAATAGTTCTTGGAGATATTATATACCAATACAGCGGTCCACAATAAAATTACGAATAATACGATTTTTTTTTTATCAAAAATCCAAGTAATATTAAGTTATCCAGGTTCATGGACTTTTTGTATTGTAATAAAAATGCTATCATATTATGATAACAAATTGCTTATTATCGTGAATATTTTATCTTACTCTATAGTCTATCTATAAGACATCATAAACCGTTTACTGTTCACTATCACCAATGTTCCTTGGCAAAATATTATATTTAAGACGTTCAACATTTCCTTGAGCTTCTTTTTTTACTTTAATTGCTTAATAGATTCCTGTCCAATATCTTTTCAAAATCATTTATTTTTATATAATTCCACGGTTTGAGGTTCCCAAAAGTTTTTTTTAGAATTCGTATTTAAAACCATTAAATGCGTAGTTTTTATTTGTTTTGCTTAAAATTACTTCCATAATTTGAACTCACGTAAATTACAATTAATATCCGTGTGATGATTAGCAGTTATTTTAGTTGTCAAAAGACTGAATACAAATAAATTGCAAAGATATGAAATTGTTATGATACAAGAACTTTCCCAGTAGCCATGAAACCTGATAAAATATTATACAATATATAGGTATCATAAAATTAAAAATGTATACATGTAGGAACTCAAGTCGAATATGAATGATACATAATTTTTATCGGGAACCAGTTCCGTATTTACCATTTTGGATGTACACTGTATGCACTGAAAATCGGAGCCTGCAACGATAACAACAGCGGGGCCAATAATTCGCAGCAGCTAAGGTGCTGTTATTCGTTTTTGTCGGGTTTGACTGCAACCGGAACACAGTGGTCCGTGCCCCGTGGAAAACGTCGACTTTTTTCCTCACTTTCTGCGTGTCTGAAACCACCACCACCTCCATGCTCCTCAGCTCTTCGATCGGCGGCGACTTGTCTAAAAAAATGTAGGTAGTTACTTATTGGCTACTACTACTTTATTTATATCATGATGGCGTTGACATGTTTTTGACACTTAAGCTTGAGATTATGATATAATGTCACAACTCGCAGCGCTGTTTAACAACTCTAATCTCTATGTTAGTAAGTTATACGTATAACAAATTATTGTAATCACGGAGACACGGAAGCCTGAATGTAATTTTTATTTGTTTTGCTCTTTGTATAGATTTCTCTTGCAATAGTTCTATATATTATTTTTTTATTACTATAGTTATGTACAATATATATTAATAAAATAATTCAAACTTAAATCATTTTTTAATTGATTCGATACCTTAAGGGGGATTCGATACAGTGATTTTCTGTTTTAGTCTAACACACGCGCAACATAGGATTTTAGACAGGTTCTTTGCCAGACATACCAATTGATCTAATGAAGCGATAAGAATTCTAAAAACAGATTTGAATTGGTTGTCAAGTCTACTTGAAATCGACTTTACCACATTTTTGATTTTTTGATTTTAACTTCTCCAAAAATTAAAATACGACAATTTTTAAATACTATTTTTTAATATGACATTTTTAGAAATTTGGGGGATAATATCAAACATGTGGGAAAGTCGATTTCAAGTAGACTTGACGACAAATTCAAATCTATTTTCAGAATTCTTATCGCTTCAATAAATCAATTGGAATGTTTGGCAAAAAACACGTCTTAAATACTATGTCGCGCGCGTGTTAGATAAAAACAGAAAATCACGGTATCGAATCCGCTTAACTTATGGGGTTATTGTTAATCATAAAAACTTTTGTCGCTTATCGTTTATAGTAACCATTCAGTATTTTTTTTCTAGTAGGTACCTAAATAAAAATTGCAAAAAATCTTGAAAAGGGAAGTATGATATTTAAAATAATAAGATGATATTATAACTCAAAAAATCCATTTCGTACTCAAATGTTTTAACATTTATAAACTTATAGATACAATAATACAATAATGCAATAATAGGTAAATGGTATTAGGTAGTATGAAATAAAAGTGAACTTGACCTTTAACAAACATGTAAGTAAATAGGTACTGAAGTATATCCATATAAACCGTATAGTTACTATTGAATGAAGTTAAATAGAAGGTGATAATACTTAATAGTTAATAGAGCCTATAATATGTACCTATTGGCTATTGGCATTGATTAAATATACTTATTTAATCCATGTTATTATAAATCAATAACATATTATAATATTTTAAAAATAGAACTCACACAAAAATGTGTAGGTGTAGGTATTGTACAATACAGCAAATTACTTATAGTTATAAAATACCATGCCAAAAACAACCGATGCTAAATTTGAAATGTCAAATAATAAAGATATAAGTAAGCATATATGTCAGGGAAAGAAAATAATAACATTTTAAAATATTGATTTAATTTTAAATAATAAAATGTATAAAGGAACAAAAGGTTTATGGAGATAATTGTCTTATAAACCGTCTATTTTCAAAAAATACATTACCCATTGGCTTCACCATGAATACGATGCTACAATATTGAAGTTTCAGGATTAATTTGTTTTTTACACTACCATTGTCTGCCTTTTTTTTCACATACAACTTGTTTTTTTTTTCGTTTTTTTATATATTAGCTGTTCAAACTTATATTACTGTTTTTCTGTTATTGTTTTTTTCTTTTTTTATTTATGTATTTGAGTAGCTATTTAAGGAGAAAATGATAAATGTAAATGTGTTGTATACAAGATAACTCCTAGGCCTCCACACGAGTTTTACTCAGTGAGGCCTAGTAATCTTTACCGATGTTAAATTAAAATAAATAAAAAATAATATATACAGAAATATTTTAATTGTATATTTAACCTTGTTTATTTTTACCGGGCTTAATACATACTATCCTTGTTTTTTTTATCGTAGATAAGAATCCTGGAGATAATATTATTATTTACCCACAGTTTCGAACAAGTCTATAGAATAGGGAAGGTTTGATATACTTTCAAATATTATACCATTTGGTTATTTATTTATTTCGGTAATTTATAATTTATAAATATATTTTTTGCTTTATCGAATTCATAGTGTGGGGTTACATAGTGTGTGGATACATGAGAATATGTATAGAGAATTATAATTAAATATATACGAATACATGAATTCAAATTTAACCTCTCCAATTATAAATTATAATTATTGAGCTCAGGCTTACAAACAAATCAACATTAAAAAATAAATCTGTCTTCATCGGATCGATATTTTTCCATATTCCTTAGTCACTGCTCTATAATTTCAGTGTCGCATCTCTTTCGAGAAGATTCGCCGAGCAGTAATTATACTTCAACTTCTAGCCTCTGGGCAATTATAGAAACATGGGAGTGCCCGCGGTGCTGCTGGTAGTGCATTTCCGCCATTTGCTGGCCGTGTTTGCCAACTCCACGTACGTTTGCCGAGGAAACAATTTATTTATTGACAAACCTGTCTGGAAAAACCTGCCGACGGATTTCGAGTTGCTCGTGAGCTTGTACGCTTTTGGAAATTTACATTATGGCCATGTACAGTGTTCGTGCTATGTCAAGCGCCGGGGTCACCCATACGTGGTTGTTGCTGCACGGTGACGAGCCGAAGCTCGACCCTCCAGTTGCACGTCCACCCTCATTCAAACGAAAAAATTCTTCGAGCTATCTACTGGCTGGGGATACTTATGTTGGTATACAAAATATACAATTTCTGTGGGGAGGGAATCATACTATTTTCACCCTTTTAATTTAAGTTTAGTTTACATTTACAGTTTTAACCTAACCCTACCCACTATAGCATGGAAAAATATAGACTCGATGTGACAATGTACCTATACAACAGAATATCTTTTTTTGATGGACATATGTATTGCTGGACATGCACGATATATCACGTAAAATGTACACCAACAAAATTCCGTTGTATAATTTAAACTTAGTCCATGGAAGTTACTAGATAGAGCTATTATCATACCTAATAGTAATACACTAATAACTAATATGAACAACTGAAACATCGTTGGTTTATCAATAAATAACCATCCACAGTTAAAAAATACCAGGAAAAAAGCCACAACAATTATGTACCTAAATAGTAAATTGCCCATCTAAAACATCCCCTGAATATATTTTTTTTTGTTATTATTATTTAAGAGAAAAATAACTATTAGCATCCTGACCATAAGGCACAGGGAATTCATTTTTTTTTTTAAATATTTTCACATTATTAGTTTGTGACATTTTTTTTATGTAGAAAGTAAGAACACTACAATCAGGGGCGATTTTACAGGGGGGTGTGGGGGGGTTTGACACCCCCCGAATGTCGGCAATTATAAATACAAGTGGGCAATTTTAAGAAATCAAAAAATCCAACTTTTTATAGATTCTGAGCGGAGCAATGAATGTATTAATTGTACAATGTGTTTTTTTTTTGCGTCTGTCATCACCTTTTAGGACACTAAAAATGATTAGATTTTCTTCAACAGTCCAATCTTTACTGATAAGAAAGTGAATCTAGTTGGTAGGTACTTGGGGGGGTCAAAAGTAAAAAATTCCAAATAGTTTTTAAAAGCGCCGGGGAAACCAAAAAAAAAATTAAGGAAAACCGGGAATGTTTACACAAAATTGTTTTTCTACAAAATCGATATTAGTTTTTGGTGTAACTCTAAAACAAAGTAACGTAGATACATGACTTTTTCCCTAGTTGTTTTCAGCATTTTTACATGATAACATTTTTAAAAAATGTTGGTTTGTTTTGAACTGTTTACGGATATTTTCAGTTTCAGTTTTAGATTCTGAGTGGAACGATGAATGTATTGATTTTACAATGATGTGTGTTTTTATATTTTTTTTTATTTTTTTTACTTTTCTGTCTGTGTACACGATAAGTAGTCGAAATAATGCTTCGATTTTCGACTTCAGTATCTTGTTCGATTGGAAAGTGAATATCGTTGGTGCATTGGGGAGGTCAAAATTTAAAATTCCCAGTACTTTTCAAAAGCGCCAAGAAAAACAAAAGAAAAATTAAGGAAAAACAGGAATTTTTACGCAAAATCGATTTTTCAGAAAATTTAATTTGGTTTTTGGTGTAACTTTAAAACAAATGACCGTAGATACATGAAATTTTCACTGGTTGTTTATATTTGCATTTTCTATAACACGATAACATTTTCAAAATATTTTGATTTATTTTGAACTGTTTAGGGACATTTTCATTTTTCATTTTTTTTTAGTTTTTTTTCTAGAAATATCAATAAAATTTTATTTGTTGGTTAAAAAAACTTGAAAATTTAATAGAAGGCCCCTAGTATATTGTTTCAAAGGCAGATGAAAATTATTAAAAATCCTTAGTCACAATTTATTTTTATAAGCATTTAAAGTTCAAAAATTGACAAAATATGGAAAAATCACTAAAATTAGCAAATTATTTTGAGTTAAGAATTCGTAAAATTTTTCTTTTTAAATCTAAGATTTTAAAATGTAATACAAGATTCCTTACAAGATTATCTACCTTTATCAAAAAAAAAATGTCCATAAGAAAGTCAAATTAAATTTTTATGAGCGTTTGAAATTCATATTTTTACAACATTGGATATTCACTCGATTTCTCATGTAGCGATTTCCTTATTTTGTTGTAATTCAAAAACGAATAACTGTAGATACATGAAAATTTCACTAAATGTTTATATTAGCATTTAGGTACTATACCCAATACAGTTTTGAAAATATTTTGAATCTTTTTGGGCTGTTTACGGACATTTTAAGTTTTCAATTTTTTTAGTTTTTTTTTCTATAAATATCAATAAAGTTTGTTCTGTTGGGCTAAAAAGTGTAAAAATTTAATCCAAGGCTCCTGATATATTGTTACAATATCAGTTGAAAAATATTAAAAATACATAGGCACAGTTTTTTTTTATAAGCATTTAAAGATCGAATTTTGACAAAATTTATCAAAATCTCGAAAATTGTCAATCATTGTAATTAATAAATTATAAAATGTTCAGTTTTTATAGCTAAGGATTGCAAATTCAAAACAAAGGTTCTCATAAATATTTCATACTGAAACCAAAAAATCTAAAAAAATATATGAACACAGTTATTTTTTACAGACATTATAAATTCAAATTTGGACGAAATTACATATTAAAAAACCTAGAATAACTATTTTAGTTATTTTGTTGTGATTGAATAATATTATTCGTGGGTACTTGAAACTTCTACTTGTATCACGGTTTTTGTTGATGTATAACGCGTTATAAGTACCTAATGGATATTGTGATATGATTAATTTGGAATTTATTATAGGTACCTATTAAAGGTCAATTTTTTGTTTTATACCATAGATATGTATATAATATGTCTTATACATAGACCGACATACCATCTCCGCTCAGAATCGTTTTTCTTATACAATGATATTATATCGTTGAATTCAAATTTAATATCATCTATTATACAGTAACCCACTTGTAACCTACTGTACAAAAGAGCGACACCCACTTGCCCACCTTTTTTTAAATTTTTTTTTCTATGAATGTCAATAAAATGTTATTTTTTGGGTAAAAAATGCTTGATTTAATACAAAGATCCTAATATATTGGTTCACAGACAGATTTAAAAACGATTTTGTAGTTAAACCGTATGAATTAATATTCAACTTTTATAGCTATATAAAGTTTGAAAATTTAAAACAAGGTTGCACGTAAGTATTCTGTAACCAAAAAATCTCAAAAATATAAGTTTTAATTTCATCTTTGAAAGCAGAATATTTAGATACAGTATTTTGATACATAAAAGTCAAATTTAGGAGTTTAGGGTAGGTTAGGTTAGTAACCTAGGTTTCTAACTTAACCTATTTTAATAATATTCTTATAAATTTGCTGTACATTTATGAAGAAAGTATGCATTTATGTTCTTAAAATATTATTATACGCGTTTCAAATAAAACCCATAAAATATGATAAATAAAAATAGTATTTTTTGATTCAGTATAATATGAATCAAATTTTTTTCTGGGTCAGCATTAAAATGAATAAATAGAAAAATGCAATTTCATAACTATTTGATCCCTATAATTTATTACTATAGGAAAAAGTAATTATTATAACATTAAGTATACAGTCGGCAGATTTATCATTGAAAGTCGGCAATATTCACTCCAAACCCCCCTAAAAATAAACTCTAGGATCGCCCCTGACTACAATAAAAGATTAAATTATAAAATATAATAATAGTAATGATAATGAAGTGTATACAATATAGTTTATCACAATAAAGTTAATTTCAAAAATTGCATTGGGAGGGGGCTGGCTGCAAAATGTACGCCGTTGAATATTATGTTGTTAATATTATGTTTTAAAAAAAAACATGAATAACTAATTCCTATTTTATGTCAAACGGGTTGATCCAGCAACTGGTACGACAGTTGTGATTTTTTAAATTATAATCCGTTTTGATAATGTCCAGAATAGAGTACTGTAGTCATCCCTCACTAACGCTTACAAGTTACAATTTGCTAATTGGCTAAGCCCCCCCCCCCCCCCAAACTTAGCCGTAGCCCCCAGAAGTCAAAAGTTGAAATTGCTCCTATGGCGGTAGAGTCCATGAGGTGGCTGTAAACGATGCCGACACAGATATTGTTATTGCCAAATTGAACATGCGCGGTATTTGGCAATTATTTCTATAATTTATAGATTTCAAGATTTGTCGTGCTGTTTTTGGAGAGAGGGTTTTTTATTGAACTGGTCCGGGCATTTTACATTGTTCTACACCAAAATTGATATATTTTATATAGGTAATTATATAATTTATTGTGCATAATAACAAATGGCACTTTAAAATATAGTAAAGTGACTCAGTCGGTTTGCTACAGTACGTTTTAAGTCTGCAAGTCTTAATAACAACCAATTCATATTAAAGTATAGTAATATTATTATACTATATTAAACTAAAAAAAAATAACTATAGTAAAATATTAAATAGGGTATATGATTGTAAAAGTTGTAATACCTATATCTAGGGTATAAACTACGCTAAAATAGGTGTAAATAGTAAATACTAAAAATATAATTTATATAATGTATATAAAATATAAAGATTAATAATAATAATATACATAATTATAATAATAATATTGAACCTTATATAATTTTTACATAAAATAATTGAACATTTTCGAGGTTTTGTCAAATTTTGTCAAAATCTAAACTTTATAAATACTTATATAACATTTTTTTTAATATTTCTGAACTGCTGTTATAACTATTTATGAGGAACCTTGTAATTAATTTCCAAGCTTTTTGACCCAACGAATAAAATTTTAATGACATTTATAGAATAAAAAACTAAAAAATTGAAAATTGAAAATGTATATAAATTATAAATAACTCAAAACAAGTGTACCTAAATATTTTTAAAAAATGTTTATGTATAGAAAATGATAAAAATAATCATTTATTGAAAATGTCAAGTACCTACGGTTATTAGTTTTAAAATAGGTAACAACCTGTACCTATATACGAAAATCGTTGTATGAGAATTTGATAATTTACAGGTGAATATTCAATGTCTAGCTTCAAAAGCTCGTAAAAAATGAATTT